TATAGTGATACATGATTCATAATACATCCATGTATGAATATCTTAAAAATGATTTATCACTATACAAACATAATGTATAAATCATAGAGTAATTACTCTATGGTATAAACTTTTTAATAATCTTTAGTAAAAAAAAATTGTATTTGATCACAATTTAGTAAATATTTTGCAAAATCTCTGGCTTTCTGTTAGTATCAAGATTTGATTAATATTTAATACAATCCAAATAAAAGTGTATAGTCAACTTAAGTAGTTATTGTAACTGTGGCAATATGTTAAGGATAAACCAAAAAATGTCAGATATTCAATTGCAGACGACATCAGGCGATTTTGGTGTACACGATTACTTTAGAGGCAGGTGAGGAGTACTTCGAACACTCGTGAAATCCCGGATATCACGAATGGTATAGTCGGCTAAAATGGATCAACATTTTTTAACATTTAATTAAATTGTTTAATATTTGTTCCTAAATATAAGCATCTAGCCATAAATTAGTATTTTATATAGGTACAAGAAATACTACTAATATAAGTCTAGATATTACGTACCTAACGTCTGTGGGAATTTTCATCGTAACAATTACTTAAATTACATATAAATATTTATCTTTTTTTTTTTGCTACTCAATTTGAGCAACCCAATACTGTTTTCGAATAAAATTAAAAAGGTATCTTCAGTTTTTTTTTAATTTAACTCTACGTATACAGGATTAGTAATCCATAATTAACTACAAGCCACTTTCAGGCCCGGCTCAAGGGGTAGGCGACATAGGCCCACGCCTTGGACGGCATTTAACATTTTTAAACTATGGATAATTTTAAAAAAAATATTACATTTACTAGTACCTACTCATATCAAAAAACTGTTTTGTTTTATTTAAATTAGTAGTGGTTTACTTGTCTACAAATGTATTATTCTAATTAATTGTTAACTTTACATAATAAATATAATGAACTCGGAGTTAAGTCTATTTTAGTATTTTTTATGTAAAAATAATATTTGATGTAGTATTTATATGTAAGGGGAGGCAAAACTTAAATTTACCTAGGTGTAAGAAAAAGTTTGGGCCAGGTTTAACCACTTCCTTACCATATATAAGTTATCTATGTTTCCATTATTAATTTTATAAAGCGCAGAATATAATCGTATTCAAATAAATGACTATCATTTATAAATTTAATATGCTTAGTGCTTACCTCAATATAGATTTAACGTTTACTATGATATTTAAAAAATGTTTGTTATAGTTGGGGTATATTAGTTTGCTATGTATCTGATTTTTCTGCTGTATGTACTGATGAAATGAAATGGTTAGTTAACGAATATCATGAGTTTCATGCCAGAGGAATCAAAATATTGGCTTTATCTTGTGATTCCATTAGTTCTCACATCAAATGGATAAAAGTAAGTATAAAAATACATACATATATAATTATTTTACGATGTGTTATCTTTACTTAAATAACACTACACAAAAAAAAACCATGTGATTATAGTTACCATTTAAATGGTTGTCTTTACCATTTTCAATGGTAAGTATAAGGACTACCATATAACATAGTTCACAGTACCAAACACATTTTGTTGTTATGATAAAGTAATGTAACCTAAAATTATGGTTGGAATCAGGGGCAGATCTAGGGGGGAGGGTTCAGGGGGTCAGCTGACCCACAGTCAATATTTGTTGACAAAATTGGCTTCTTGGAAATTTTTTTTCTCTTTTTAGACCTTGATTTGAACTCTTAGACAGTTGGCCCATCGGAGTTACTTGAAAAATGAATGCCACGTATATTCAAAATTTAAAATTTTTCAATTCATTATTTATATTTTAAATTATATCCAGGGCCGGCGAAAGCTATGGGCGACCCGGGCGATTGCCCAGGGCGTCAGCATGAAAGGGGCGCCAAACTGAAAATTGTTTTCATCTAATTTATCTTTTAATACGCATTAATTATCTACAGGAAGTAAGATACAGTTGTGCTTTCTACTTCATATAGGTACTGCATCCATACAGCGCTGATTTTGATGTAAAAATAATGTATGGAAACATACCACCGCATTTGTATGTGTAAATAGATGGTAGTAATATTTATTTTCATAAAATATTTACCCGTTTACCAATAAATTCATATAACTAGACGATTACGTAAAAATCGCTTTTGGACCTTACAGCGAAAATACCGCGGTGTGTGACGTAAATCAAAAAGACACAGTTGCTCGATACTCACGTACAATTTATTGTTTTCGACGAGCTCTCGCTATGTACGATCTACTGTGTAATGTCAAATGTTTAAACTAACAAGTTACAGTTAACAGGTACCTAATCAATATTCATATTTTTTGTTTAGTTAATTTCTACATAATATTTTGGTTCCGTATTAGTTATTTACAATGAACTCCGTTCTCGAGTTGTCTTAAATATATATGAATATATATGTATTATAAATGAGTTGTTAGTGAAACACAGTATTCCTATATTGTAGGCAGTGGTGACGTGAAATAATATATTCCCTGAAAAAACTTTCAAACAATAAAAAACGCCAAGCTCAAAATTACAACTTTTATATTTTTGAAACGAAAAAACAAAAACCTGTCCAAAAAATGCGTTGATATACTACTAACTTATTATACTAAATATGTACTAATTTTATTTAATTTCACTAAAAAACTTTATTTTATTAATACTCAAACTATGTGGGTTGGAGGGGGGTCAAGGGCGTCAAAACATGGTTTTGCCCAAGACGCCAATACTTGTAACGCCGGCCCTGATTTTATCGTTTAAATAGAAAATTAAGTAAATCATATTTTATTCCGTACATTAGTTGCGCCACAGAATAAAATAGAATGGACACTAATAACAAATTACATGGGCAGCAAAGGACAATAATGAAATCAGTCAGCCATTTAATTTGAGGTACAGTAGGAAGTTAATAACATTTTATTCCATCATGAAACGGTAGTAATATTCTTTATAAGCTACAGCGCATTTTCAAATGTTACTAATACTAGTATTATTTTTCAAGGTATTAGGTGCAATAAGAGTTTGAGATTTGGGGGGGCTTATAAGTCTTATACTATGGTATGACCATGGGTCAACCCCCAACCACCCATCATAACCAAAAAAATATAAATTGTGTTTTTGTAAATGTATTACAATTGTATTTGTAAATTGACTACAACAAGTGTTATAAAAAAAAGGGGAAAGGGGAGGAAGAGAAAAATATTGTAAACGTGCTGGCACTGTTGCCTTTGCGGTGGGAGTACGGTCGGGAGTGACGGAAAGAGAGGGAGTGTAGTGCGCGAACGACCGTTGAGCGAAGAGTGCGTTGTCGTTATATTTGTGTCGTTTTGGTGATCTAAGTTTATATGTATATTCTATTGAATAAATGTTTATTAATTGTTTATATAATACTAAGTGTTAATTCTTGTGCGTTTTCTTTGTGTAAAAGATAGAATTTCATATATTATATAACACAAGGATTTACATTTTATAGTATTATATCGATATAAACGTTTTTAATATACTTAAAATTTTAATATAAATACCTGTATAATACTATTTAATCATCGATGAATCTATTTTATACATTTTTTTTTTTTAAACACTTCCCATTCTGAAATCCTGCACATGGGCCTGTATTATGGTAGACATACTATCTAAAAAATGATCCACAAGTAAAAACTTCATGGTACCCAGCAGGTTACCATGTTTCACACTGTTTGGTAGATTATAATCAATATGATTATAGATTATAATTAATATGTAAACATATTGAACAATTATCATAATTAAAATTACAATTAATAACGAAGTTATCAGTTGTCACTGATTATAATTTGATAACAAAAGTACCTCAATTAAAATGGCCACTGATTTCGTTGCCGCCGTATTGTGTCCACCCCCCCGGTTGCACTGATAAAATTAGATTATGTTTATTAATCGTAAATAAGTCATTATCGGTAGTATCACTAATTCTAAAATGTTATATAAATATACACTTTTATGAGCATACTCGTATTGTGTTTTTTTTTTACAAGGTATTAATTTCTAATTCAATTTCAACCCTAATAAATGGCCTCTTGAAATGGCTTGACCCACAGGTCTCCGACTCTGGATCCATCCCTGGTTGGAATTCTACAAGCCAACATAGTTCCATCAACCATTCACTATTGTTGTCCCAACTTAAATCTCATTGTTAATATATGATACCTAATACATAGTATTTCCAACTACATTATAAGGTGATGGTAACATTTATCATATTGTTTGTAATAACCTTTAGAAAATGGTAGGTATTAAATGAATTATAAAAATAATAAAGCCTAATACTAAAATAGAAATTATAATATATAACTGTATGTACCAAGCTATAACATAATATTAGGTAAATATATAAAATTAGCTAGGAGTTTAGATAATAGGTACGCCATGATGGTTTGTGGGAACATTAACAAGGCACCTTAATCATATCGTACGCGCGGCTGTGAAGTGAATAACAAATAACTGATCTAAGAATAATCCATAAAAATGTATATTATTAATTTTAGGATACTTGTAAATTCTTGTACAATATCTTTTGGAATCTTTAGTTCGTTTAGGTTTTTTAAAACATTATCGTCCATTATTAAAAATTAAAATAAACAGAGACGCAAATGAAGTCTGTACAATCAGTATACGAGAGTACTACGACTTGCAGGAGAACACTGCGGCACGGCACTGTGAATCGTCGTTGTGCGGCCTAGGTAGTTTTTTTTGATATAAATCTATTTTTAAAAATACATATAATATTTTATTCGTAGTATTGTTCTTACAACCATATAAAAGGTAGACAGGACCTATTGAAATAATTAAAAACAATATTAACCATACACTGTGGCTGTAAATACTGGTTCACTGTAAAATGCATATTGTGTAGACCAACAAAAGACTTTTGGTACTGTCAACTAGAGATGTATCGTTCATGAACGAACTAGTTCATCGAACGAGTAATTGGTGAATGATTGGTCAGTGAACAAACGATGACACTTTATGAACTAGTTCATAGCGAGTGAGGAGGGGCACTGCCTATGAAAAGATATATAGTGGGTGGCTAAAGGGCCCACCGCCAAGGGGGTAGGTATTAGATTATTTATAACTCTAGCGCCATAACGGCATATGCAATGTTCCACCGTTCCACGTTTTAGCGTTTATGATATATAAATAAATATGTATACGATAAATGATATATGAATTCGCGTGGACTAACATTAAAGTATGAACGAAACCATGTATCGTTCAGTGAACTACTAATTCAGTAAACTAGTTCACTGACCGAGTTCATTACTGAGAACGATGACCGAATGAACTAGATGATTGGAAAGAACGAAACTTGACATTAAAGTATAAGCGAAACCATGTATCATTCAGTGAACTACTAGTTCAGTGAACTAGTTTATTACTGAGAACGATGAACGAATGAACTAGATCAGCGGTTCTCAATCTTTTTAGGACCGCGACCCAAATTTTTTTCCAAAAATCTATCGCGACCCCCCCATAGTTTTACATTTACAGAATCAATACAAATAATTTCTAAAAACAAATTTATTCTATTTTATTTATTATTTACTACTTTATTATAATAATAATAATAATAATAATTATAATAATAATAATATAATACTTAATTAATAATTAGGCGTATGTAATGAATGTGCTTGTTTCTTACTATCTGTATAATTAAAAAAAACTTCTCGCGGCCCCCAAAAAATTAACTCGCGACCCACAGTTCGAGAAACGCTGAACTAGATCATGGAAAAGAACGAGACTTGACATCACTACTGTTAACTAAGCGTTTTAGTAAAGGTAACCGTCCATATAGTTAGGCCAACCGAAACAAATACAACCATTTACTATAACCAAATTATTTTTTCTGTGTAAATACAATCTGGTAATTAAATATAAAAAAAATGTGTTTTGATTCAAAACAACTACTATTTAGACATATTAACAAAAACAAAACGTTTAAGTTTATTTTTTTATAACTATTAAGCTACCTATCAAATTAATTAATTAGCATTGTTATAACTTACCTTTTATTCAAATAAATTTGAAAACTAGTTAAATAAGTTAAAATTAAAAGATTATTTGATTATTTTGTTTTTATAATAAAATAATTTATTGAAAGGCAAATTTCCAACTTGTTTGCAGCAGTATACATCATTATCATGAATTTAAAGAAATCTATTAAGTTTAAAGATCATAATTATTTTGCATGTCATCCAGATCTATAGTACGCATATATGAGTTTATTATAAACCAAATCAATTTTAAATAACTGAATTCAAATTCAAATTTTCTTTGTATTTAAAAATATAGTTAAATTTATCATTATCATACCTTACGGTCTAGTATTGATTTAACTCAAGTTCATAAAAATGTGAAGTCATGCGTGAAATGTAAAATAAAATATTACAACTTTTTAAAGCATACTGTTATAACAATAGTTTTCTGTCTATGTATTTAGGATATAAAAAAAATTAGTGGAATGCAATGTGATGAAAAATTTCCGTTTCCGATTGTATCGGATCGCAATCGTGTGTTTTCCTTGTATCTAAATGTTTTAGATGCAAAGTGTATTGATGATGAAGGGATACCTTTACCTTGTAGAGCAACATTTGTATTAACACCTGATATGGTTATCCAAATCATGCATTTTTATCCTCAAACTACAGGACGTAACTTTAAGTATGTTATTCAAGTATCGTTATTACGAACCAATTTATAATTACTTTGTTCTTTACTCATTTTATGTAACATCGATTTTTAAAGTGAAATTTTAAGATCAATAGATGCTCTACAACTGTCATTAGAATTCGATAATGATATTTTTACTCCATGTGGATGGAAAGTATGTAATTATATCACATCATTTTATTAAAATATTTTGTTATTTTATATTTATTTTATTTATCATTCAGTAACTTAAATCCGAACTCACATAATGACAGTTTTTTCATGAAACAATTTTAAACTGTATAATATATATGTTATGAACATTTACTCTAATGATATAAATGTTGCGGCAGTTGCTGTCATGACACAAAAATATTTAAAATAATACAAAAAAGTATGGATCTGTCTTGACAAAAATATCTCAATTATTCACACGGTAAATTTAAAGGGCATGTACCAGTTGCACCAAAAGTACCTTTTTTTATACCAATCCCCCCAAATTACCTCAATCAGTTGCCTTCAATCAAATGTTAATATATACACGATTACAATATATAGCCTGTAAAATAGAGGAGGTAAATATACAAATAATGGAATATTTCTAGTTTATGGGACACCCTAAAATTTAGCAATTTTTTTGAGGGACTTTATTTATTATTTATTACAAAATACAATATCATATATAATTATAAATATCAAAATTTGATTTTATAATTTTATACTATTTTACATTATGTTTATAAATAATTTTATTTATTATTAGTATTTTTACCTCCCCTATTTTACAGGCTATATATTGTAATCGTGTATATATTAACATGTGAGGGTAACTGATACATTCAATTGGGGGCAACTGGTACATTTGGTCGATGGCAACTGTTATATTTTAAAAATCCCGATGACAGCCGTGGGGGCAACTGGTCAACACCCAATTTAAATATATCTGAATACGAACAATTATAGTCCGATCCAAAAGAGAAGACATGAAGCGCCGACCGGTTTTCGTTCGGCGGCGCGCATCCCCCACTCACGACCAGTGGCGTAGCCAAGGGGGAGGCTATAGCCTCCCCCATGGGCCGTGTTTATATGTATAATGTATCTTGACTATTTAATAGAATCAATGCTCGTTTTAATCAAAGACTTATTGACGTTATGCCACTTGAAGGACTTATTCCGGCCAATTTAAATATGTATGACGATAAAAATATTATAAAACCTGCTAAAATATATGTCCAAGATCTCCATGATGATATCTCATCTACAATCAGAGCTAACTTGTTCATATGGAAGCAACATTGGAGTCAAAATACTATTCCAAAACCGAATTCTGCTCTTGATTCACTCTCTCATCGCACCAATCTTCGACCTAACATTAAAATACTTTTACAATTATTCGCCACGTTACCAGTTACCTCTTTCACTCCGGAAAGAACGTTTTCAGCACTTAATCACTTAAAAAAATTTTTAAGAAGTACCATGTCGGAAAACAGACTGAATGGGTTAACTATGGCTAATATAAATAAAAGAGTGCAATTCGATGAAAGTGAAATAATAACTGAATTTACCAGAAATTCCTAGTTATCATAAATTGGAATGCTAATGGAATCAAGAAAAATCGAAACACATTTGCAGCTTTCTTATCGGCTCATAATGTTGATATTGCATGTGTGAGTGAAACGCATCTAATTGCTAGTGATAAAATTAAATTTAATGGTTATACTACCTATCGCAAAGATAGGCTAGCGGTTCGACCTTCAGGTGGTGTTGCTATAATAATCAAATCCAAAATAAAACATCAACTAACATATCTACCTGCTACACAAACTCTCGAATCTGTCGCAATATCTATTACAATAAACCAATCAATTACAACAATATTTAGTGCTTATCAATCACCTAGTCTTCAAATGTATATAAACGACTTTTATAAGATATTAAATAGCTATCAAAAAATTATTTTAGTAGGTGACCTAAATTGTAAACATACAACATGGAATTGTAAATCCATAAACGCTAATGGACGTAAACTTTATAAATACCTTGCAAGCAATCCTGCGATACTGTCAGCTCCAGACACACCCACATACTATCCATATGATCAAAGTAAAAGTCCTGATATTTTAGATGTAATTATACTAAAATCAATTCGTTTTTCCATGCATCAAGAACCACTTTTCGAACTTGACTCGGACCATTTACCTGTTAAAATTACACTAGATGCGTCCTTATCGTTCTCAACTCCTACTCGCAAACTCATCACCGGTAAAGCAGATTGGCAACAATTCAAACAACACATCACCACAAATCTAATTATCCCTAAAAATATATTAAATACTAACTGTGCAGACACTGCAGTAACACATTTACGTGAAATCATATGTCAAGCAGCCGAAGAATGTTCAGAAAAAAAAATACGGTAATAAATTATAGTCCTAATCAACTTCCCCTCAACATTGTAAAATTAATCAAATCAAAACATCAAACCAGAAGACTCTGGCAATTGTACAGACAACCACTTGATCGAAAAAAATTAAATTATTTAACGAAAGAGGTTAAAAGACAACTGGAAGAATATAGAATTAATAGTTACCAAAAATACTTATCTGCTATACACTCAGCAAACTCAAACCTATGGGCAGCGACCAAAAGATTAATTAAACCAAACTCAAATGAAAGCCCCCCTTTAAAAGCGAGTGGTTTTACCTAAATACTGACTCGGAAAAATGTGAACTGTTTGCCCACACTCTTGAAAATATTTTCACTTTAAACAATTCTGCAATGAAAACTCTACAGACAATCTAGTCAAACAAAAACTATGTGACCCCAACATTTTTCCACAAAATGTTTTACCTTACTCGTGTCCAAACGAAATCTTAGACATAATAAAAAAATTACCAAAAAGAAAATCACCCGGCCACGATCTAATTACCAATGCTATTCTAAAAAATATTCCTAGGAAAGCAATTACTTATTTAACCATATTATTCAATTCCCTAATAAAAATTGGATATTTTCCTAAGGAATGGAAACTGGCCACAATCATCATGATCAAAAACCAGGCAAAGATAACACTGACCCGTGTAACTACAGACCTATTAATTTACTGTCAGTTTCAAAAATATTTGAAAAAATTATACACTCCAGGCTCACCAATTATTTAAATGCAATAAATGCTATTCCGCATTTCCAATTTGGATTCAAATCAAATCATTCAACTACCCAACAACTCCTACGTCTAACAGAACATATAAGCGATGGTTACGAAAAAAAACAACATACAGGTGCCGCCTTTTTAGATGTAGCCCAAGCTTTTGATCGGGTCTGGCATGACGATATCTTATATAAACTAAAAATGTTAAACACCTCAAATGCTATTTACAATCTAATCAAATCCTACCTCACTGCTCGCTGTTTTAAAGTCAAAATAAACGACACTACTTCACAAATAAAAATTATAAATGCAGGTGTACCTCAAGGCTCAAAAATTTCTTCGTTACTTTTTAACCTATATGTTTCAGACTTTCCCACATCAATTAATACCGAAATAGCACTTTATGCCGACGACAACGCAATATATTCAAGCTCTACAGACGTTGAAACAGTGACAAAAAATATTCAAGACCACCTGAATGACATCCAAAAATGGGGAGATAAATGGAAAATAAAACTGAACCCTCAAAAAAGCACAGCAGTTCTTTTCACTAATTGCCGCCCCAAAACTCCCGGCAATTTAGAACTGTATGGCAATAACATTCCCTGGTCACCTAGCATCAAATATCTCGGCGTAATATTAGACAGGAAACTAACTTGGAACCCACACATCACCTCTAAACTTCAACAAGGCTACCAGAGACTAAAGATACTTTATCCATTGCTAAACCAACAATCATCGCTAAGCTGGAAATGCTCTATTTTGATATACAAACAAATTTTACGACCATTACTTTTATATGCAGTCCCTGTGTGGGGAAATTGTGCAGAAACCGCGTCTTCTCTTTTGGAACGGACTATAGTTTTTATAGTGCGCAGTTATGTGCTTAGTTACTATTTTTTGTATTTGTTAAAATGCCGGTGTTTCAACTTTTTTATTTTGTATTCATTATTATAAGCCATGGTATCAAAGCGTAGACGAATTGCAACTACTATTATGGAAAATTTGCACAAAAAATAAAAAAAAGGCGAGAAGTATGTGGGAACACAAATTGCTTCGAAGAAGCATAAGTACATCTATGGAAGTGTTTCACCTCTCACAAATTTATCTTTATATTTTGTTTTTTAAAGACAAGGTTATTTTCATATTCTTCAATTAGTTTGAGGATGTCCCTTTAACAGTCCACTCTTTTTTTAAACTTTATGTCATAGTTGATTTTGTAATTTTAAAGCTTAAAAAAATAAAAGAATTTTAAGAACACCAAAAAATAAAATCCAAACTGTAACTGTCTACTGTCAACGGTTTCGATTCATCAAAACAGCAGACAGTTTATTAATCACACTGTCAATGCTTATTTTGGACATGTTCAGACTGGCACAAAAATTGTCATGAAACTTGTGTCGTGGAAATTGTATAAGTGTTCGATAGAAATGTAAACAATTGTTCATACGTTGGCAGTTTACTATCATGAAGTTATTTCATTATAAAAGTGTCATTGTGTGAGTCAGGTTTTAATTTAAAAACTGTTAGAAGTTAGAACTATTAAAAATGATATTTTTGAAACAAAAATCGAAAAATAGTACAATAAGCAATTATTAATAATTGAAATTTAGAATAGAATGGAAAGGTGTATTTAATATTTCAGAATAAAAATATAGAGGAAAATAATTATTGAATATCTAAAATACATTAGTCGAAAAGTATTTTAAACATATTTGAAGTATCAAAAAATTATTTAAATACTAGTATTCAAATACAAGTATTCGAAAGCTCAACAAAACTGATAGTACCCACTAAAACTAAAATAATTATAACTAATTCTAATAACATTAAATCATTTCATATTAATTTATAAAATAAAAACTTTAGTATATTTAAAATTACATTTTAGGCTTTGTGTTGTTGTTTTTAATAAATTTTAATGTGTTTTAGTCAACCTCGGATTGTTTGATATCCCCAAAAGTATCAAAAGAAGTTATTGGACATAAATTTCCTTCATCAACAGTTATTGATTTACCATCAGGTAAAGATTATATGCGTATTATTTCAAGGATAATGATTAAAAGAAACTGCAAAAACAAACTAAATAAATCATAATTGCATATATAATTGTTCTTAAAATGTTATAAGTTTTTTTTTTTTTAAAAAATGTATTGAAGTAAAATATTTTATATGTATATCAGGCACTATTATAATATAAACATAAATACATTTAAAATACCAGATATTATAAAATCAAAAATAAATATATAAATAATTTCAGGTCAAGTGATGTTAAGTGTTAAGCCTTCGCAGGGACGGCACAAGGGGGAGGGCAACCAGGGCAGTTGCCCCGGGCCCGGCGGTTTTAAAATTTTAATTAAGGCCCCGCAATTCTGAAATGATTTTTACTGTTCAGAGACTTTATTGAATTTCTAAAATTGTATTTATTGAAATCATAATTCGTAATAATTTAAGCGCGTTACACACTACCTGATTTGGTCGGGCCGACAGGATAATTTGGTCAGATCCAGTGGCGTAGCCAGGATTTTTAAATGGGGGGGGGGCTAACCACTTTTTTAGGATAAGTAAGGTAAGAGAGGATATGAGAATTCACCCTTACCCCCCCCCCCCACCATGTACCACCAAGTTTCTAAACGTAATTCAGCATTTTAATATACAGTAGAGCCTCGATAATCCGGACGAATTCAGACCGAGCATCGTCCGGATTATCGATTTTTCCGGATTACCGGAGGTTTCTCAAGATTACCTACTCAAATGACTAAGATTTTATTTTTAATTTCACCATCTTTATATTTATTGCATTTTAAATTATAAGAATAATAAACAACTTAAATTAAAACTAAACTAATGAATTACAAAAAAAAAAATGTTTATAATATGTAGAATTTAAGTATAATAATCGGTAATTTTTTTCTGAATAGTACTTTTAATTTTCATTTCAAAAGCGAGTTCTCTTAATCGACGTACCAACAAAATATCAGTGCTATCCATGTTCTCATCTTCCGCCCATTGCAATACAGTATTCAGTGCATTCACAGCTTCTGAAGGAGAAACTTTACTTGTACTAATTGAGCCACTTTCATCCTCGTCGTCAATATCATCCTCTTTTGCTGCAATTTGTAGAATTTGATCATCAGTTAAGATTTCATGATTCGCTAAATCTTCGTCTGCGCCACGGCAAGCCCATTCCTGTGCTTGAGAATCAGACATTTTATTCGTACATGTTTTCTGTATTTGGTTTATAAGTGTAGAAAGTTGAATGTCATTAATTTCAACAACTTCGTCGATTTTATTTTCTGTTTGGAAAGGAAGCAAGTGTTTCCACGATTTCTTTATGAGCATTGGCGGGACCAATTTCCAACAATTTGCAAGACTAAAAACTGCGTCTTTTAAATTTATGGCCTTTAGAGCATCAATAAGGTTTTCACCATGCACCGGATCAGCAAGAACATTGACTAAGAGAGACTTACGATAGTTTAATTTAATATTCTGAATTACATTTTGATCCATCGGTTGAATAAGCGCTGTAGTATTAGGGGGTAAAAACATTGCAAAAATGTTGCCATCATCACTACGTAATTCTTCTGCTGATGGATGTCCAGGGCAATTATCCAACAATAATAAAGCTTTTGGAGGTAAATTTACATTTAAAAGGTGCTCACGAACTACAGGAACAAATTGTTTTTGAAACCAGTCTAAAAATAAAACACGAGTGGCCCAAGCATTTTTTTGTCCACGATAGTATACGGGAAGGTTAACTGATTTAAACGCACGTGGTTTTTGTGCAGTCCCAATGACGAGTAAAGGCAATTTATGTGTTCCACTTGCATTAGCACAAGGCATGAATGTTATTCTAGCTTTAATCATTTTTCTTCCAGGGGCGTTTTTCTCATGACTTGATGTCAATGTATGCTCTGGTAACATTCGCCAGAATAAACCGGATTCATCAGCGTTATAAATTTGTTCTAGGTCCAAATTGTTTTCATTTATGACTCGCTGCAACTCATTTCGAAATGGTTCGATTGATGCTTCGTCACATGAAAGTTTCTCACCCGTTATTTTAAGGCGCCTAATACCATGACGATGTTTAAAATTGTCTAGCCAACCTCTACTAGCAGTGAAGCCATCTTCCTGCTTTGTTATTTCACGGTGAAATAAACGTGCTTTTTCGCAAATTATTTCACCACTTATCGGAATATGTCGTCTCCGCTGTTGCATAAACCATATAAATAAAGCATTTTCGAGAACAAGATTTTCCGGTTCTTTTAAAGTTTTACGTGTGCCTGGACCACGTTCAGTTGTGCTGACAAACTTCATAATTTTTTCTTTATTTTTTTTTTATGTCACCAACAGTCGATTTACCTATTCCGTACTTCTCAGCAATCATACCATAGTTCTGGCCATTTTCCATTAGCTTAATTATTTCAATTTTTTGATCTAAAGTTAAAGTTACGTGTTTACGAGGAGCCATTGTACAAACAAGAATAATAACCACTCGACAAGAAAGAAGTAAACGAACTGACCATCGGGCATCGATTTATTACCTACATATGTACATATTAGTCTTTACTAGGAACAGTAGGTAAAAAAAATGACGAAATTGTATTTGTCGATAACAATATCTTATGCATAGATTAATTGGGTTCCGGGAATTCTCGTAAAATCTATTTACGAACAAACGGAATTTTGCCGTCCAGATTACCGCGTTCACCGGATTATCGGGGGTCCGGACTATCGAGGCTCTACTGTAGTTTTAAAAATATTTATTAATATATAATTTATAATAATAATAATAATTTTGGTTTCAGTGTTCAGTGCTCCACTCTGACAGCTGCATTCTCTTAGGCGAATTTCTGGCAAATTCAGTTATTATTTCACTTTCATCAAATTGCACTCTTTTATTTATATTAGCCATAGTTAACCCATTCAGTCTGTTTTCCGACATGGTACTTCTTAAAAATTTTTTTAAGCGATTAAGTGCTGAAAACGTTCTTTCCGGAGTGAAAGAGGTAACTGGTAACGTGGCGAATAATTGTAAAAGTATTTTAATGTTAGGTCGAAGATTGGTGCGATGAGAGAGTGAATCAAGAGCAGAATTCGGTTTTGGAATAGTATTTTGACTCCATTGTTGCCTCCATATGAACAGGTCAGCTCTGATTGTAGATGAGGTATCACCATGGAGATCTTGGACGTATATTTTAGCAGGTTTTATAATATTTTTATCGTCATACATATTTAAATTGGCCGGAATAAGTCCTTCAAGTGGCATAACATCAATAAGCCTTTGATTAAAACGAGCATTGATTCTATTAAATACTCAAGATACATTATACATATAAACACGGCCCATGGGGGAGGCTATAGCCCCCTTTGCCCCCCCCTTGGCTACGCCACTGGTCAGAACAGACGTCATATCAGGTCGTGTGTAGACGTGTCGTCTGACTTTAATCTTGTCGGGTCTTGTCAGGTGGCCATACCATCTGATCGCCCGACCGACCGACAAAATCATATAGTATGTATCACTGTCGGGCGGATTTTAGTTGGTATATTGATGTTAATGTGATAACACGTGTGTGTACCTAGTACCTACTTCCAGTTTAATAAAACGGTGTTAAGACTGACTAAATCGGTGTGGTGGTCGTATTGTGTGTACACAACATCTGATTTGGTCAGGTATCCTGTCGGTCCGAACAAATCAGGTAGTGTGTAACGCACTTTATTGTTCTATAAAACAATTGTAATTGTTGAAAATAATTCTTTATCCCATGAATCGGATGCAGGATGGTTATTTTTAGACGTCATTCGCGACGGCCGGCCGTCGGCCGCGGCCTTATCGGTGGTGTTGGCGACCAGGAAGTCTGTCCTTTGGTACGTGTTTCATTGTATTCTTACTTAGAAGATACTATTTTTAATACTTTTAAATACATTTCGGTTCTATGCAATAATCAATATTATACTGTACACCACCAGTACAGAGTACACACAAATATACTACTAATGATACTAGTGTGTATGTGTGTGTGTGTGTGTGTGTGCTGCATGTGCCTGTGTGTGTTTTGTCTTTCGAGCATTTGAGTAGGTGATATGTTTTTCTTATGGACCTTAGTGTTAATTAATGTGTAATTGAAAGATAATTGATTTATTCACAAATAATTTATACCTGCATTTAATTATTATTTTACACTTCTACGTGATTACGTAATATAATGCCTAGTAGATATCGTGACAAGTTTCGAAATTATAAGAGTGGTAATGAAAAAATAAATAAATAAAACAAAATAAAGAAAAAATATAGATAACAAGGTAACTATATGACATTCTATATAATACTCTTAGTACAAATCGTATATTCAGTTCAGATATATGATTTAATTACAATTTTTACATAATTAATTTTTTAATTTTTGTTTATTTAATAGACATAGATTGAAAATGTTGTCACTATATCTAGTACATCGGATATTAATTTACCAGAAATTGTTGAGTCTGAGGTAGGTTGTATCCTAACATATTAATTGTGTAATATGAAAACTATTTCAATATATAATAAACAATCAACGGTACTTTTGTTATATACGGAGGCTACTTGTGTTATATTTATATCTTGCCGCAGCGCGATAACAAACGTACATGTCCCCAGCACCCACACATACGAAATTCGTATTTTTTTTTGCCAAATATTTAGTATGCAATTTGTATGAATTTGTATGCCTATTCACCAAATTTTTACGAATTTTGTTGTAGCACTACGAACGAAAAACCGGGGCGGTGCTGGGGACACGTGTCTCCAGCACCCCTAAAACGAACCGTTGAAATCGAAATTGAGTTAAGGGGCCTCGCTACTGCTATTATTTAAGGGGCAACATATAGGCAATTTCTAATCTCATCGTAGCCGTCCGGGATATTTGTGTTAGTTGTAAATGATTGTTAGTGTAAGTACAATTCAATGGGGGTACCGCTCTCCCTTCCATACCATCAGGTAGTCACTAGTCGTAATTATATTATTATAATCGGTGTCCCGTACTCGCGTGTTGAATGGTTTCGGAGAATTCGGTTCATTAGTTTTAACTTATTATGCTATGAATTAAGAAAAATAATAATATAGTCCGCAGTGTAAAATAATTTGCATAGTTATTATTGGTATAGATTATCTGGACCGTACAAATCTGGATATATATATCTGCATATCCACATTTATTTTGTCCCAGTTACCTACTTGAAGTGGTTTTGCGTACAAGCCAAGGGATATTTTCGATTTGCGAAGTGTAGCGACGAGTGCCAATACATACGTAATCGTATCCAGATTCATACGATTCAGATAATGTACTTTCCAGATATGTACAGTTTAGATTTATGCGGTTCAGAATTCTAAATTCTAAGTTTATACGTGGACCCATAATATATAATATAAAAAAAAAAGGAAGAGTTTATTTATATATATTTTATATATAAGAGTTTTATTATTATTTTTTTTTGCCAGATTAAATAGATAGGTATATTGTGTATATTTTGATGAATAGTTCAAGTATTATTGCATTAGTACTATATAGTTTAGGAGTTTAGGACATAAGTAGTTTAACATCAACTATTGTCATTATAATGTAGTATTATTAGTCATAGAAACAGTATACATAATAAATAAACAATCATTGAAGATAATAATTATGAAATTTTCTGTTAGTGCAGTTCATACAATAAATTGTTGATTATTACAATTACGTACTTATTTTTTAATTATTATTATATTGTGATAAAGTAGTATTATTTAGGTAAAATTAAAATCATATGACATAATTTGTATAGTAAATAATAGCTTATATTATATTCATATGGGATAGTGTAGCCTATTTTTTTCTTCATTTTTGCTTCCAAAATATAAGTAGGGTTTCTTATTGGCATACTTCTAAAATGTCTGGGATCAACCAATTCAGGAAGAAGGCAATTGAAGAAAAAAATTTCTAGTTTTGGAAACATTTTGTTATCCCAAAATATATCATCTCGTTCAATTGTTTCATACCTTAAACTTTATTTGTCCAATATGCTATAATACCAAATCTTCTTCCAGTAACGTGTAGTTGTCCTTGAACTTGGTAGTAATATTTATGGTTGGTATTAATTCCTATGATATCTTTGTTTTTATCAATTTTCCATAAGTTAATTTTATTTATTAATTTTAGGGAAATATAAGTAATTGCTAACATTATTATAGGATACCACGAAATAACGTATCCAATTATATTACATTGTTTAGGTTTATTTAGCTAGATGCGGTGCGATAGCGGTATGGGGGGCTCTCGCACGCATCGTCATCAGGTAATATCGTGATCGCAAAAAAATGTTTATTTTTCATTCCAACATACGTTTCTAATTCCAACGCTATGTGTCGACAATTATCACGATTTTCATTCTGAAAAAATATTTGGATGCTCCGTAATATGTAAGAGGGATCGATCCAGGCACATTTTAAAAATTGTATTTAGTTAATTAAATATTTAAGTTTGAAATTTTGTATTTTTTTGTATTTACAACAATATTTATTGCAATTATAACTACAAAAATTAAGAATGTGGCTTGATCGTTCCCTTGTACATATTACGGAGCATTCGAATATTTTTTCAAAATAAAAATCGTGATAATTTTCGACACGTAGCGTTGGAATTAGAAACAGTAGTTTTTGTTAAAAAAAAACGTGGTGGTGAGGTCCCTTAATAAAATATAATACTGATATAGTATAATTTTGCTTAAATTTATTTATTTTATTTTATAATTTTTACATAACATTTGTAGAAAGTATATTATGTATGTTGTATACTCAAATTGTGTATATTAAATATTCACACTGAACTATTGTGTAGACTTCATTGGCTCTACTCCAAAGAGCATGTTATTTTATAAAAATAATATTATATATTAATTTAATTATTATTTAATTTAATATTATTTAATTAATTTATTAACACCTTCTAATTATTATTAAGAAATGTATACATACTTTTTTTGCTATAATTATAATTGTACATTAGTTTTATGTTTCGTTAGTATTTATGTTGTTAATATTTACATCGTATGATCCTCTAAGTTATTTGCTATTTAATAATAGTAATCCAGCTGCCATCTGTGAGACCTCTAAAGTATTCAGTTACTGTGGGTTTCGATTTGTAAAAGAAATCATTAAAATAATATAATTAAGAACAAATGTTAATCGCTTACATTTTATTTATAAGTTATATGATGTAAACACAGAATTCAGACAATTATTTAACAATTCAAAAACTGGATAGTTCATAAATTGGAATTGTATTGTTTAAATTTAGATTTATGGAAAATCAAAGATAATTTTAATGTATGGAACACAAAATATCTAGTTATGTATGTATAGATGTTTTGTTATCTGTAAACTAGTATTGTCTAGACATGGTAATGCGATTTCCGTTGAAATCTAATTAATTTTTCGAGTGTCGCGGCTTAATCGGTCGTCCCTTGACGACATATCCGACATATCAGTGTGAAGCAGCAAAGCGTGATCACACAAATTTAGCTAAAATTATTAAATTATTAAGTTTTTACTATTATTTAAAACTTAATTTTTAGCAATTTTCATTGCGGTTATTATTTCTGACATTTCTGCAATTGAATTATTAATTAAAAAAATGAAGGGAAGAAAACCGGTCATACCTCCATCTGAAACTATTGCTGCAGTTGTCCATTTCAAAGACAGAGTTGTGACAGAAATTAATGGTAAAAAAGGTAAGTACTTGTCAGTGGCTAAGCTTGGGTTTGAGATTAGGGTAGACAAATTTATGAAATAATATCTTTTATAAAAAATTATTTAAACAAAAATACATAGGTAAATAAACTTATTTTATTCATAATACATTAATACATACAATTTTTTAATATAATAAATAATATTAATAATTAATAATAATTAGTTAAGTATTAATTAATTAATAATTTATTAGTACATGTGGAAGTTGATGAGGCGCGTACCATTTTAGAAGAGGAGTACGAAAGGCAAAATAAAGGCTTAGATAATTTTGAAAATCCTTTTGCAACTTGGGCAAAAACAGTCCTATGATGAAAGTCAAACATTGATAGAAGAAGGGTTGGGCATAAATCCATTCTATTGTCCTACATTGGTGCCCATAATTATAAAATGTTTAAAACTTCTTCCACTTTGGTCGAAGATAATGATTCCGATATTTGGATATGGTGATGAAATAGCGTCATCGGCAACCGTAGAATCAAGCTTTAAAAAATTAAAAAATTTGACATTTCAAAATATTGAACTCCCGACAAATCTCGAAGTTTTTTTAGAAAACCATATTTCGTCCTTAAGAGGAACGTCAATATTATTCTATTATTCGAGGGAATAATAGCTCAGCACTAGAAAAACATAATTAATTTAATGAAGTTGATACAGGAGTACAGGTTGATACAAAACAAAATAAAATGTACAAACAAGATCACCGGATAATATATTATACAAAACTATCAATGAAGATACAGTAGAAGTGATAAATATATCTAAAACTATACCAGTAAATTCAAATGAATTGGCATGCCCTCTGTACAATACAGGTTAAATTAGACATGTTATTATAAATTATGTAGTTAAAATTATTTTATTGAATTTTAAATTATTATTTTTAGGTGTATTTCTTTCTCAAAGTGGAGCTCATCGTTGTACGAAGTGCAATAATTCGGTTCACGCGTTATGCTCAAATTTTGAACCAGGTCATGAGGACGGACGAATTTGTTTTTCATGTATAAATCTTTTACGATCTACCGAAAATTAACCGACAAATTTAGACGGAGAATCATTGGCATGTGAGAATTGGAATAAGAAACCCGAAAAAAATAGAAAAAATAATTCTTATCTTGAGCCAAATGCTCATTTGAAACATATAAATATAAAAAAATATAAAATTGTGAGGACCTTACCATTATTAAAAAATGGATCGCGAGCTACAGAATTAAAGGCCTGTTCTGTTAACCAAATAGGAAAAGTTGTATTAACGAATACTTGTGCGTTTGATACAATTGCGTCTATATTTTTGGCTGCTTATAGCGATAGTCAATTATATTCGAATAAAATTGATATAATTTTGGATTCTACTTTCTTTAGTTTTATCTCTAAGATAGTAAAATATAGCATTACAGCATGATTTAATTGCTGGTGATAATGTCAATTACATTACGGAGGCCAGTCCTCAATTTAATATAAAACTTGAGAACATACCACAAATAATTATTTGTGGTATGTTCTCAAGTTTTATACATACGATTATAATCGTATGTTCAAAAAAAATATTGTATTTGAGAGGTATTGGCTGTTATCGGCCTGGAATCAGCCGTCTAAGGACGGCAGTTGGCCATTACTATGCCATTTGTAAAAGAGGGAACAGTTGGGAGTTGTTTGATAACATCAAGAAACATTCAACCCCAAAGAAGTCTATAACAATAGTTCCGTGTGAATATTTAATATACACAATTTGAGTATACAACATACATAATATACTTTCTACATATGTTATGTAAAAATTATAAAATAAAATAAATAAATTAAAGAAAAATTATACTATATCAGTAATATATTTTATTAACTTAATTTCAATGGTTCGTTTTGGGGGTGCTGGAGACACGTGTCCCCAGCACCGCTCCGGTTTTTCGTTCGTAGTGCTACAACTAAATTCGTAAAAATTTGGGGAATAGGCATACAAAATCATACAAATTGCATACTAAATATTTGGCAAAAAAAATATACAAATTTCGTATGTGGGGGTACTGTGGACATGTACGTGCGATAACAATGTGTTATATTTAGGAAAATTTAACACATTTATACCGTGTCGCCGTGCGACAATAATGTTTTTGTGTGATTGTTTTATGTGGCCTCCGTATATAACAAAAGTACCCAATCAACATATAAAATAAAATATACTTTAATTTTATGGTTAATTTAGCTACCTAGTTTATTATTGTAAATTTTGTAAATTGTAGATTGAAATGGTTGATGCTAATGCTAATGCTATCTAATGTTAATTTACCAGAAATTGTTGAACAGGATATTGTTGAGTCTGAGGTAGGTTGTATTCTAAACAACTATTTATTTATTTATTTAAATAAATAAATAATAATAATAATATTATTTTTTATTTTTTTATTTTTTTATTTATTTTTTTTCTCATTTATTCAATATTTAATTTTTAGATTCAATTGGTCGATGTTGATGTCAATTTGGTGAAGAATATTAACAAAAAACTGGAGAGTTTTGTTCAAACAAATGAAAATGGTCCCATTTGTGATGTGAATACAACATCTTATGATTGGAGTGATCCTGCTAATTGGCCTCAGCTGTTAACTAATACAGGTAAGTATGAAATTGTAAAACTAGGCCCCGTAAGAGTAGAGAATTATGATTTTCCGATTACTGACTATGAAAATGGTAAAAAAAGAAGGTTTACTGCAAATTATTACTATCGTAAGTTATCAAATGGTGATTTGATTGATAGAAAATGGGTTGTTTATTCCAAAGTTAAAGATTCTGTTTATTGTTTTCCTTGCAAAATATTACAACAAAATAAACAGAATGAGAGTCATATACATAATATTGGTCTAAAAGATTGGAAACATCTTTCAGAAAAATTAAAATCCCACAAAAGTTCAATGATTCATTTTCAATCAATTAAATCTTAGATGGATTTAAATGTAAGAATATCTAAAGACTTAACAATTGATAAAGAACATCTGGCCTTTATTGAAAAGGAAAAAAATCACTGGAGAAATATTCTTATTCGTGTGATTAATATTATTCACTATTTATCCAAAAACAATGATGCGTTCAGAGGACCATCAGATGTCTTATTTACTAAAAGTAATGGTCATTTTCTTGGAGCAATTGAAATGCTTAATAAGTTTAATCCTGTTTTTATAGAACATTTAAAACGAATAAAAAACGATGAAACTCATGTTCATTATTTAGGGCATGAAAATCAGAAAGAACTAATTTCATCAATGGCAGCAGAAATTCGAAAAACAATTATTAATAATATTAAAAATAGTAAATATTTTCTATCATAATAAAGACAGTGGGTTCATAGCATACATATGGCAAGGAAAAAGAAAGAGTTTCATACACTGTTCCCGCATTTAAAACAGGACAATACATTTTTTTTCAATATTATCGGATGAGTTACGAAAAAATTTACCAATTGTTAGAACATATAAATATATAAAGTACAAAACGATGATGACCAAAAGTTAGCACGTATATTTCGCGTTGACGTAAAGTGTCAGTGCGCATGTGTTAGCGATCGGAATGCTTCGAAATCTGTCAAAATATTGTCGATAAACAATTCGGTCGTGTTCCGATCCGATCCAGTGTGTGATTTAAAATTATGTTAATTAATTTTTTCCTTAAGAAATAAAAGAATGTAATGTTACATTGACATTATCCGTATTTAAATAGATATCCAATATTACACGAATACAAGTACAATTTGGAGAGGTTTGGGTGTGCTTAGCACCCCCAAATGTGTTTATGTTAATTTAAATGTAAATACTCATTACTCATTATGTATAGAAAAACATAATAGTTTTTGAATTTTTTTTGTATAAATATATAAATTTTTATACTATAAAAAATATTTCGCAATACGAAAAAAAAATAACTTTATCTTTAGGGTAAAAGTTTCAAGTTTCTAGCCATATTACTTTTAGAATTATGACTAAATAACTAAAATTTGAAATGTGAAAGTCTTATTTACAGCGTATTTTTACCATTTCAGGACAGTTTTTTCCTCACGTCTAGAAAAACTATTATGATTTTAAAAAATGACCTATCTAAAGTACCACCGCATGCCAATTTAAAATTTAAAAAAGTCCTAGAAAAAACTTTTGGACCAGTATTTCTAAGCGAAAAGTGTTAGAAAAATAAAATTCAAACATCATTATAAAACCATAATATCCTCCGCTTCAGTGGCGTGCCGAATATAGGTCTAAATGATGCCCAGACATCAAGTTAAAAAGGGGTGGGTGGTTATTGGATAATAATATGTAAATCACATAACTATCGTATATATTTAGGTAGAGAAATATTGATGTATGAGTTCTGAATAAGATGAATTTAAATATGGGTGGGTGGGTGGTAAACTAGACTTTGCAATTGGCATCAAAAACATTTTTATCTCGGCACGCCACTGCTCCGCTTCAGTCAGAATCTAAAAGTGATCATGTAATAAAACACTTGTGTTTACAGACAGGTAATTCGTTATACGCACAATAAAAATAAAAAATGAATGTGAACAATTTAAATTTAGAAATATTCATATATTTATCAAATATTTTAGTAACTGTTGAATTGTACGGTTTGCGGGTGTCTATAACCATTAAGAAACATGAAAAAGATAGAAGGGCTTCAGAACCCCCAGTTTTTTCATTGAAATTGGGCCCCTGACAATATACCACATGATATATGGAAGCCCATAACAGTTTATTATTATCAATTGAACAACCAAAATTTATAATTTCACTTTTTACTTTAACACCTATCTTAGAACTTATCGATGAAGTGTTTTGTTAAATAAATACACACGGAAAATACGCACTATACGATTTATTATAGCTAAAGTAACTACAGGAAAAATATATAATATAAATATACATAAAAACCCGACATGAGTGTACGTGTATGCCAATGGCCATAATGATCGATAAACTAACATGAATAATATTACGATAACCTGCTTTCCTTGTACTGTACAGTAGATGCCGCTAGTTATACAATAACCTAGATACATACATATAAATTTACTAATATTCTAACATGTTTTATTACAAAATCCCAAACTTGATTTATTAGCTTTAATTAATATGGTGAAATCATTAAGAAAAAAAAATAATTTACGTGATGATAATGCTTGGAATAATTTTTTAAAAAATGCTAAACATTTTGATTTATTGGATTTAAATATGGAGATTCTTCTCCAACGTAAAAGAAAAGTTGTTTCTAGAATTAACGAAAGACCTTATAATCAGCATGAAGAAATGCAAGGTGATGATAATCTGAAAATTAATATGTAATAGATAGAATGATGCAAGAACTATATTAAAGATTTTCTGAGAGTTAAACTGACTTTGCATTTCTTGAACCCAAAAATATGTTCACATTACGAGTAGATTCTGAAAAACACATTTTTGATTTACCTAAAATATTTCCTAATTTAGACAGTAATAGATTGCTGGCACAATACAAACTAAATCGTAATTGTATCAAAAATTCTTGAAGTACTGAATAATATTAACCCAGATTATAAAGCTTTAATTATGTTATTTAAAATTTGTCTATGATTGCCTGTTACAACAGCTTCCGTAGAGAGAAGCTTTTGCTAAATTTACTTTGGTATCACATTAATTTTACTATGTCTTGTATAATAATACATTTAGTAACAAATTTGTTTTTAAATGTTAGGTAAAAAGTAAATTAAGAACAACGATGACTCAGGAATGTCTCAGAGTCATTGATTATGGTAACCACTGAAAAATAAATTTTAGAAAAAACTTCAAATACAAGACTTTGTGGACAAATTTGCCGAAAAAGATAGGCGCATGAAATTATAAATAATTATTATTGTTAAGAGTAATTTTGTAAGTCTGTAAAGCAATTTATCATAGTAAATTTTAGTATTTATATAAAAATAATACTTTTTTTTTAAATAAATGTAAGAAGTTGTATAGTATTAAATTCGATATTGTATCATTTATTTTATTATTTTAATTTACTGAAATTAATTACTAACTACTACCTACATATTTATGTATTTGATTTTAGATAAGCCTTGATTATTATGAACAATTTTGAAATTTTGCCCTTCCCAACTAAAATACCTAGCTACGCCACTGTACATATGTAACTTATAATTTATGATATGAAAAATAAGAAAATATTTAAAACAATTTGATTTCAATTTATTTTTATTTGTACACGTCCTTAATTGAACAAAAGATAATTATTTGTATTGTATCAAAAGTCTGTGTTCTGGTACAGTATGGCATAGTATACTTTCAAAAAAATGAATGGGAACACCCTTGAATATATGGATACAATTACATGAACTTTTTAATAACTATTTAAATTTAAAAACAATTATTTCTACGAAGAACCTTATTCATTTTTGAAGTAAGAGGCTACAATATATTTATAAAAAAATTTTTTTAAAAGCGTTTACATCCTTTGCAGTTGCAATAGTCTGGTCCAGAACCACAGTACCCATTAGGACTACAACAATTAAATTTAGTGTTAGGTTCACATTCAGCTTCATAAACGCCATCAACTTTGTCGGCTTTGGGGCCACATGTTCCAGCTTTTTTGTCCCCATCCTCTAAAGTCCACCATTTTTTTGGACCAAACCGGTATGATGGTGTCTTTTTGAAATTTACACATCCTTGACAATCACAGAAATCAGCTCCCTTACCGCAGTAGTTACCATTAGAACAACAATACGCATTCTCGTCATCCGGGTTACACGTAGGAAATACACTATTGATTTTTGGTATTTTTCGACCACATCTATCAATTATGTAAATTTTAAATATTTGAAAACTATTTTTTATCAATATTAAACTCGACAAATTCCAATTCTATACCTTCCACGTAAGCCTTCTTTTGCATTAAGGAAATACCATGTGACGGATACAGTAGGCTTAATGGGTTCATTTAAGATTATTTTTGGATTATTTCCATAATCTTTGCATGTGGGACAATCACAATATTTCTCACCAGATCCACAGTAACCGGATGGACCACAACAACTGTAACCCGGATCGTCAGGATCACATACTGGATAATAGCCTTTGTACAAAGGAGCAGATCGACCACAAAGCCCAGCCATGTCATCGCCATCTTCAGAAGTCCACCTATATAAATTAAGATGATACTATTAAAATATTTAAACTTTTTGAATTCAAAATCATAAATTTCATTAACAAACCAACGCTTTTCATCTATAGGCGAACATTTATGATTCACTTCATCCGGATTAGTCTTATCACATAGTGGTGCGTTATACACTGTATTTAAAAGTGTAAGATCATCGTCATCTAAATCTACAGACCAAATCATTAGTCCACCAACATTTTTGTTGGTTGCATACTTAGTTTTAAATTCTAAAGATTTTTGGTTTTCGTATCCTAAAAATACTCGGGTGTCAGAATTCCAAGCATATGGTGATTTACTCTTCTCGTGAAAACTTTGAATAAATCTTTTATCGGACAAGTGTTCTTCTTGTATTTTAAACCACGGTGTGTAACCCCCTTGAAAAATACCATTTACCGAATTTGCCATCCGCCACATCTGGTCTTTGCCGTCAACTGAATCACCGACATTATTCCAAAACCCACCATAAAATGGTATGCCCATGTTGATCTTATGAGGCTGCTTGGATTTACAAGTGTAATATTTGATTGTCCAGTCAACGTTGGTTTTACCAGAAAATCTAGGTGGCATTCCAAAGAACAGCGGTGCTGGTGGTCCTGTATAAGCTCCCCATTTACTAGACCAAGCGCCAAAGAAATCATAAGTCATTACGTTCACGAAATCTGCATATTGTAACAGTCCAGGCAAATCAAAACCTGGATCCAAAGTCCATTGACCAGCAGCACCAGCAAACGATATGAGAAATTTATTTTTGCGACCTTATACAACATTCAACAAATTATATTAGACGAAGACTGTTAGCTAATACCTAATGTTATATTAATATATATATATATACATATATGTTAACAGACATCGCACCTGCGTCATTAGCGAAAACGTCCAAAGCCTGTCTTAAGTCCTTCATGAGAAGAACATAATTTGATTTGTCTTGTGGTATGCCTTCGACTGCACCGCCAGTAACTGGATACTCCCAATCAATGTCTACTCCATCAAAACCTATACAAACATTCATAATTTAACTTCAAATTGATTTAAAGAAAATTATTTTGAACAAACCATATTTTTCAATAAGTTTAATAATGGAAGCGATAAATTTTACTCTACTGTGTGACGATGCTGCAATTTTGCTAAAATACTGTGAGTTTTCCCACCCTCCAACGGCAAACATAATTTTTAAATGTGGATAAAATTTGGCCAAATTCATAAGATGTTCTAGTCTATTACGAGACTTTTTTGTTTCTTCTTCTACGTCAACACTGTGCGCAACGTCCGGTGATCCCAAGTCAATTGTACCATCACTACGTATTTCCAAAAAAGCATAAATTACGTGTGTCAGCCTTGCCAATACATTGCTTTTAATCTTTTTCAGTCCCCACGAAGTGTAATATCCGACAATTCGTTTTCCACAATTTTGCACAGATACTTCGACATTTCCGTTTGGTGACTTTTCATCATCTGAATCACTATCTTCATCATCGGTATCTTCCCCTGTAATGACTTGGCGTTTTTTAATTAAATCAAAAAATTCTTCTTTTTCTTTTAGTTCAGATGGTGTACATCCCCTTGAAAATCTATTAGAAATTTCTCGTTTTCGTTTGCTCTTTTTCTTCATTAGTTTTTTTTCCCATTCTTTTTTTTCGTATTCATCTAACTCTTTAGCCTTCATGCAGTCGTAAATATTTACGGGCAACCATATTGTCCCTGAATTAGCATCATTAGAAAATCCAGAATTAATGCCAACCTGTCGACCAGAAGTTGCATCAATCGACTTAATCCATGGACTTCCCAGCGTTACATCATATAATTTTTCAATATCCGATTGCGATCTGGCTGTGAATATATCTTCTTCTCTATTAGCTAATGTACCGGCTTTAATGGGTGAATTATCGGCCACAAAACCCACGACTCTCTCTATACTGTTTTCGTCCTTATAACATATCATTTTCCAAAAGCATTTGGGAACATCAACATTTTGTTTGCCAAATTTTGAACTTAATGATTCTTTACAAATGCCTGTAACAACAATAGTTCGGTGCTTGGTACCAAAACATTCTACGTGAAATTCTAATTTTTTCCATGGATGCTCATTTATATAAGGTACTTGAGGAGCAATATTTATAAATGAAAAAGTACTTTTAGAAGCTTTTTCTGACCATCGAGCTATATTTGCTGGAGTCAAATGACCTTGATCCCAACCAGAATTGCTATAATCAGTACTGAGAGTCTGATGATTAAGTATTGCCGTGCAAGGATACCTAAAAAAACTTTTCCGTCCAAAGTCTTTGGCATCGTTGTAACTGAAAAAAAATTAAAAACTTAATTAACATTTTTTCATTAATACTCAAAAGTCAAAATCTTTTAATATCCAAGTTTAAAAAAGTTTTACCAACCTTTTTGACTGAAACTGGTCACTTTGATGTAAGGCGACTGACCATACAGGCAATTTTCGTGATTTGTCAAACATAACTACATATACAACAATATATTTACTTGTCGAAATCGAAGTCAAACTTTCGACTTTTGGAGTTCTTACAGCAATTACTGGAAACTTGCTATCATCACACTTGTCTAAGGTACATTCAGGTTTCGGATCCCACAAAGACATTTGATTTGTTTTCTTGATACAAGTTGCACTTGGACCTTTCTCTTCATATCCTACTTTACACTCGTAATGACATTTTGATCCCACTTGTTTTCTATTACACCTTTGAAATGTGTTTTTTAAAGAAAAACGAACACCTTTTGGCGCATCACACTCTGCTCGCTTACAACCATACTTTCCTCGCTTCGTAGTTGCTCGTGTGTGTCGACTTTCACAACGATCTATATTATCTTTCTCATCCTTATTTTTGTTTTTTAGTTTACCATTATTTTCTTTGTCTAAATTATTATTCTTTTGAGTAATTTTACTTCTTCCATTACTTGATAGTTTTTTGGTGTTTTTAATGGCTGCTTTGGATCCTTTGGCTATAGATTTTAATCCCGTCCCTATGACTTTTCCTACTCCTGGGGCTATAACAGTAAGACCAACGTCTAGTAACGATGATCCTAATAAATCTATTCCTTTTTCTTTAGCATCATCCCAGTTTCCAGAAATAACAGCGCCACCAAATTCCACAGCATTTTTTATATCTTTAACTATTGGTATATTTGTGATTGCATTTTTTGCACCATTTAAATCTCCTTTTACTACTTTTCCAACAGCTTTTGCCACTCCCTTAGCCGTATCAACAACTTCGTTTACCGTTTCTTTTACTACGTTCACAACGGTTTTAGCTACAGTTTTTACTGCTTTACCTATCCAGTCAAAGAAACCTCTTTTACGGCGTATCGCCACTGAAGTTGTTTCACTTGGATTTTCGTAAACTGTGAGTGATGTTTGTGTTTGTTCTCTGGTACCGGAAAAACATCCCAACACCATATTTTCATCTTCACTAAATGGATTTACTTGATCTAAGGCGGCTAGAGTGAAATTCGGTTTACTTTGAGCTACTAGGATCATAGAATTTGCCGAAACTTCTATTCTCAAATTTGTTTCGTTAGAATTAAAAAAATTACATTTCGCCGAATTTCCAAAATATTCTATAGACACATAAGCGCACCAATCATTATGAGGTTGGTTACAAGTATTCGCACATGTTTCTTCACAGTTTGTTGTACAGTTAGTTTTTTTAATTAAAAACTTTGAATCAAGACGTAGACCTGGAGTACGTATATAATTCAACGTTGAAGACAAAAATGTAGGATTTTTAAATAAGGTGACGGCATTTTTAGTTTCTATCAGTTCTACAAATTCAGACGATAGAACACATTTTTTTTCATTTTTTATGTATGACATTCGTTTATAATTTGATTTTTCATAGTTCAATAAACATTCATCAAATGATACGTTGGTTAAACTCTGTATACCAGTTTTTGTATTCGGTATGTAATTGATTACAAGATTTTCAATAAATTCGTATTTCTTTAGATACCTATGTATACCTTCAGTGTTTTGTTTAGGGTATTTCAACATGAATGACTTACTATATTGACGTTGACCAAAATTTTCAATTGTTATTACTTCCGTTTGTTCTGAGTTAAATCCAAACCCCATACAATTGATATTTTTTAAACATTGATTCATTTCATTATTAATCAATTTTTCAATTTTTTCCAAAAAATATATCTCACTGTCGGGACAAATACTCAAGTTTTCAGGCCCAATAGCTTTTTCTGGATAATAACATACTTTGCATCCAGTTTTTACGTCGCATCCTTCTGATGGAGTGGTTAAACAAGATTTGGAATAAAAACTATTGTGTGAATCATTTTTTATTGAACATGGTTCATCTTTTATTTTAATTGATTTTAAAAACAATACACCATAATCGCCTGTTTCAATAAAACGCCATTTTTCGTTATTGCTTATCGGTAGAATTGACATACGAAACGCCGATATATAACCGTATTCAAAATCAACTCGTTTCAAATTATTTTCAATATCATGGTACGTTGTGCACATTGAATTCATAAGCGAATATGAAACAATATTACACTCTGGTTGCATATTGCATTTGTTTAAACAATTTAAAAATGTATTTTCTTGTGTTTTATTTAAATGAACAGAACCAACTGCCGATGTGTGTCGCGAATACATCCAATCAAACAATACTCCAGTAGGCTGAGTCATGAATACTGTTGTCCATCGATCTCCTTCTTCAAGATTGCCATCTGTACTGGCAAATGTATAACATTTCTTTGCTGAGTGGTCATAACTGAAGGCCATACAGCTACTACTGTCAAAACATAATCCAAAACAATCTGGAAAATTTAAGTTTTCTCGAACTCCTATAGGATCTGTGTCTAAGTATATATTTTGATATTTATGTTGTGGGAAATATGGACACAAATCACAAACTCGTATACCTTCGTTTTTTATGCGAAACACATGTGATTTATCTACGTCGATAAGATCACAACGTAGTTTGTCGGGGGTGATCGAGAAGTTGTTACTTTTTAAAAGCAAGTATTTCACATAATCCGTGAACGATGTACCAGATATTGTTTCAATGTCTTCTTCGTCTGAATCAATGCTATATAAATATACATATAGTTTAATTTGGTTTTACGACATATAAAATAAATATTAATACATAAATAAAGTCTTCAAGCTATAAATAACTTGTTTTTAAATCTATTTAAAGCAGTAGCGTACATATAAACTTATTGGGGAGAGTGTCATACCTAATAGTGAAATAATTTTATAAATTAGTATGAAATGTTCTTTATCAAATTATTGTTTAAATAATAATAATAATAATTAATAACTAAATTAAATGTATGATCGTATTAATTATATTTTATATTACTGTATGTTGTGCATAGGTACACTGACACAGTGCATACTGACAACTGACAAGACATGACAATCACGGACTAAGATATTGATATTATTGTCGACCGATAATTTCCCCACTTGAGATTATAAATGTACCATGTGTGTGTGAGTACCATGCGGTCGATTGTTATTATTATTATTTGATTACAATTTAATTATTAGCCATATTTATATATTTTTTTTCATTATACTTTAATACTTTAAAGTACCCCCCTCCCTCACAAATATGCCACTAATCTTAAAGAAAGGTTTTTAGAACTTTACATTTACGCTACTTAAGACCATGATACAAATATATCATAAAAAAAAATTATTTTTGTATTAGCACTTACCCATTAGTACTGGAAGAATTCTTTCTAACACAACACTGAAATAAATCTCCATTAAGACAGGCATCAGAATGAATTTGAATTGTATTTAATGGACATCCACGATCGCTCCAATTTTTCGGCTGACACCCAGACCACCAACAGGCTTCATCCAGATAGTTAGGATTTAAATTGTCTTCATAAAAAGTACTCTCACAGCATTTATACTTAAATCCCTCCTCACATTCTATTTTTTCTCTTTCCGTTCTGTTATAACTTTTACAACCTTTAACAGCCCAGGTGTTCAACTGACATCCCGTCCACCAACAATCTTCGACAGGCTTTTCACTTTTGGAACAGCAATAATACTCAGAACCATCCGTACAAACTCTGATATTTTTTTGGGTTCGATTATATTGATCACATCCAGTCACAGCCCAGGTTTTTAATTGACATCCAGTCCACCAACATTCTTCTTGGTCTTATCAGAAATAGTATATTAATACATTTATAATAAGATTAGTGAATTGTTTTTAAAAACCTTAAAATATATATTTCTTAAGTCAAAGATATTTTGACTATAATAACTCAACTGGCATTTATTATTCATTAGCAATCTTTACTTTATAATTATACATACTCATTTTTAATAAACTAAATCAAGAAATAAAATTGTAAAACTCCTGAGTTCAGAAATTTTTAAGCAAATTAATTGCTCTTAAAAGATAAAATATTACCATAACAAAAATATGCATCCTTGTTCTATTAATTAATGTTTTGTAAGTAATGAGTACAAACATAACATAACATAGTAATAACATAACCTACGGAAACCCTTAGTAATCCTGAACAGGACTATTGGGTAAGATATAGGAAATCCCCCATACTCCTACCTTCATATCCCTAATGCCCTTTTCTATGGTAATCCTATTCAAGATTGCCGTGGTATATAATGTTTAGGCATTTTAGGGGTGTAGAGTGGCAGTATTGTGCAAAACAGTTCCCACCCATTTCCGGTTTCAAAAAGAGGGGTGTGATTTTCAATCCAAACTCAATAATATGGCTTACCCAACGAGACATTTAAATGTGTTGAGATTTAAGACTATCATTATCTTAGCTAACATTAAGAAATGCACAATAACACATAACAAGTTGTCCTATTTTTCATATTCCAAGTGCATTAGCTCAAATATACATATAATCAACGTACACCGAAAAATTAAGTATTTTTTCGGTATAATTACCGAAAATTACGATATAACCATGAAATTCCTAGTTAGATATACTTTAGTTTTTCAATTGTACTGTTGGTGAGTATTAAATTGGATTGATAATGTTGAGTTAATTATTTTAAAAACTCCAAAAACTTGAAATTTGATTACCGAAATAGGTTGTTAGGTCAGGAGGCTAGTAAGACTTCCGGGGGATTGTATGCGCTGTGCTGGTGTAATTATATTATCTTTAATAAAAAATTATAATATTTAAATATCAAAATTTAAAAACCAAATTTATAAAAATATTTGTTATTTAAGTATTCTCAATAATACTTTTTTATCAGATTGTATAACATGAAAACAACATACTACATTTTATTAAACAAAGTTAATGGAAAGGCTGTATGACATAAGCGTCAAAGGTACAAAAATGACTTATCATTTGCGCCAAGATCTGTAGGACATAAGCGCCAAAATTAATATTTTATGTAGATAGGAAGTTATTTAAAAATTGCTATATGTAATAAAAATATATTATATATTATATTAATATTATTATATCGATAATAAATTATAATATACATGCAAATCAATATAAATATAATAAATTAATACATAGGTTTCTATTTTATAAAAAAAATGTCAATAATAAATAATTTATTATCGACATTTTTTTTAACCTTTATATAATATTATAATGTATAAAGGTTGATTTTTTAATCTCATTTTTTTATCTTTAATTTATTGATGCAAGGAGAGTTCAAAATAAATATGTTTCGCTTTGTAATTTTAATAATACATCAATTACTATATGAACGGAACAATGAGCCACATAAAATTGATCTTTTAAATGTCCATGAAATGATTCAGCTGCATTTATAGTTCGTATAACCTCATTATCCGGAATTTCAGTCCAAATTAATACCTGTTATTTAACCGAGGCTCATAAGTACCTACGATTTTGGCGCTTTCGTACGATACGATTTTGGCGCTTTTGTACGATATGACTTTTTTTTTCTTATCTGATTTTGGCGCTTATGTATTTCACCGAATGGAAATATCCAGAATCCGTATTGACCAGGGAAAAAGTAATTACCTTTTACAAAAATGGAGTTTCTCAGAAATATCCGCGTGCACGTATGAGGAAGAAAAACCCGTTAAACACATAGTGTTGGCCTTTAACAAAATTTGAAGGATTTTGGAAAACGTTCATAATTGCAATGTCGAAACAGTAAATTGAATGCGCAAGCTAACTATGCGCATATAGTTTCCTCCTCCAACTGCAACTTTTTTACCTAATCTCCAGTTCCTACCTCAAATTATTGTATTTAGATATTTTATATAATTTTACCATCATTATTTGTTAATATTTTTATTTTTTATCACTGTTATTCACAACTGTTTGAATTTACTTACTTATATATGAATATTTATGTTTATTGTTATTGTATTACCTACTTAATAATTTAGCAGAAACCATGTACAACAAAAAAATGGAAACATCGTTTAAAAATAAAATAACTTTATATTTCAAGAAAATGGCGATCACTATTACTTTTATTAACTATAGTAAATAGATTAGTTGATTCGATGTAATTTTAAATACTATTTCTACTTCATAAGAGTAAATCATTGATAACAAAAATATTAATCTGGAACACGCATATACGTGTATATTACATATGACAATAAATATTATCTATATTTCAACCACTATTTATCTAATAGTAATTAATATATTACTTTATTGGACCAATATAAATAAATATAAAAATATATTATTACGACTTTAAAAAATAAACACAATAGTTCAAACAACTTAAAATCAGTTTATCCGTTTTAGGGTTTTAAACACTAGTTTTTTAAATTTTTTAAATTATGGTTGGTATAATACTTTATAGTTTATTATTTCAATTACCTGCGTTAAGAAACCAGAAATTTGGCACGCTGGGTATTTATTGAATTTTCCTATCTTATTTATATTCTGTACGTATAACAGTTATATTGTTACATGGATATAATTTAAAACTTATTAATATTAATAAATCATTATTATGTGCATAGTATAGATTCCAAAATAAAAATAGAGAATAGGAAGATGTAAGATCCTCAAAATTAAATAATTAGCAAATATTCGTTAATAATATTACTTTATTTCACTTTACTTGTCGCGATAAAAACCAATATTATTTAATTATTATTTATTATTATTTGCACAATACAAATTAAATATATTTCATACTTAAAGAGTTTTTAAATAAAATATTTATCATCTAAAATTAACGTCAATAAAATTGTTATACTTCAAGATAAATAAGATTTAATTTTAACTATTCTATGATTATAATATGATATATTAACTCAAAAAATTCTAAAATTGTAAAAATACTCAATAAAAATGTTTGCGTTTTTGTCAATCACTAATTAGCATACAATGTGATTGTCTAAAAAAAATATGCAATTATGCATTTTGCATATTACACATGAATTTTTATCCTGATAATGATTGACCTTGAATTTAAATCTAGGTTTAAATCATTATATTTAAGTTACAATTTGTATAAAATACATTGTATGAATCTGAAAATTGAACAATATCGTTATATCCAACTACCAATGGTTTTGCTTTCCAAACGAGGTGACCTTTTCACTAGGGAAGACACTGTATTAATATATTTTAATAAAGTTGAAATGTATAATACATACGCCACATGAAATAAATGTTTGGTAATATTCATAAGGATAATGCAATATACAGTACCAGATTAAATATTTGCAGGTCCCTAGGCAATTCAAATTTTGGACCCTACAAAATTATATTTTACGTACATCTTTAACGTTACTATCCAATAATTAAAATTAAACGGCTTTAATAATAACCAATCATTATCAATAAATAAAATCGTGTTTATTAAAAAAAAATTTATTTGCGAGAAAAATTAATTAATTATTATATTATTTCTATTTTTCTCAAAATAATTTTATTATTATTACTGCATACAACACATACAATTTAATGTGTATTATATTTCATAATGACTTGTGTCTCGTAAATTTGTAAATAAAATAAAGCATAGTTTTTTGTTTTCACATGAGCGAGGCCCTAAGGCGAGTGCCTTTTCCGCCTAATGGGTAATCCGGCACTAGCAATTTAATAACGTGATAAGAATAGATTAAATATATTAAGTGATAAACTCATTTATTAAATGTTCATAGGCCTATTTTTGAAATTAAAGTACTAAATATTTAATATCCAGAAAAAGATAAAAATTTGTATACAAGGCTACCAAATAAAATAAATAATTAAAACAAAATTCAAATTCATAAGGATTACAATAAAATAATTAATTAAATCATATTTAAACTGATTTAATACACTTACACTTAATTTGTTTTAAAACTTTTTAATATTTTTTTCAAAATCTAAAAATTATATTTTTGCATAACATATTTCCATGAGTATTGTGTTATAGGTATTTATTATTTTTTAAATTGTTATATAAAACTTCATATAAATTTATAGTCATTTTATAATGTCCGACTCCGTATAAAATGTAAAAGTAAAAATAAATTCTAAATAGCCTATATGTACCTATATCCGCCACCCTTTTATAATAATAGTATTAAATATTAGAACTGCAACTTATTTTTACAATCAATTTATTATATTTTAGGAATTTTAATTTTAACTTAATTTTCATATTTGATTGTGTGAATACTTACTAGGAGGAACTGTAGTGGTTGAAAATGTTAACGTTATATAAAATGCAACAATAAAAAAATTAACGAAATAAATATTATTATTTATCATTTTAATTATTACTAAAATAACATTGTTGATGTTAACAGTAAAACACGTTCAATAGCTATACAGACAATGCCGAGAATGAAATGAATTAGTCATTTAATAACGTGATACATTTTATATTACAAAAATATCAAGTAAGGATAATAAGAAACCGGTTTATAACCGACTTCAATTCTCATCATTGGTCTAAACCTAACCTAACCTAGGTACGTCGTAAACATTAAATAATATTTACTAACCAGTCAAGGCATATATATTATTTACATTTTATAACTACCTACTTCAGATAATTGTGTTTTGTCACAGAACATTGTTTCATTGTACTATTATAATACATACGACATCGTTTGCCAAAAATGCAAATATTGACAGTATTTTTATTATTATTAATATATGTAAATGTTATACATATAAATGACACATCAAATAACTTTTTTTATATCAGCCAATAACGTACATATATCAGGTCACTCTTGAAGAATAATATTTTTAGGTTTTAAACTCATGAACTATATCTTTGTGAGAATAATTATATTAATATAATTAAAAAAAGAGAAAATATCAGAAATTGAAAAATAATTTAAACAATGTTCTAGCAGAAAAATTAGCGCAGACTATACCCTATAGTTACCAGGGCCGTAGCAAAAGGGAGAAGTTAGATTTTCCTAAGCCCTGGAAGCGATTTCTGAGAGAGCACAAAAATAAAAATTTGCATTTTATGCTAAAAATTACAACGTTCAATATACTGTATATTTTATTTACAAATCTTCAAATTTCTTTCTATTAATTGTAGCAATTATTGAAAATAATATCTAATAACTATGATATTTTTAAATTAAAAATACAAAATTATGGGCGCATTTAGAAATTTCGTTCCGGGCACAATATTTGATACGGCACTAATACTATCTACATATTTCCAAAGACAAAAGATTAAATTTGAAGAAATTTATGATCTTAAGTGTCTTGAAAGTTGTTACTAATTATTTATTATAATTGAATATTTGTTATTTAATTAATTCATATATTTGTATACTTATATTTTATAATACATTGAAAAGAGTTGTTGTAGTAAATAAAATTGTATTTTATAATTATTTAACATAAACGTTTACATCATTCGTAAAATCCTAAGATAATAAACAATAATAAATAAACAATTTGACTAGAAAATTATAAAAATTAATATTATACATGAATATATAAACAACACAATGAAATAATCATTGGCTAATAGTTCGGAATTAAAGTTTCTTCTTTAATTTATTACATTTTGAACGAAAAGAATCCATTAAAAAAGATAGGATAGGTGCATGGTCCCTTATTATTAATAGTTACTCATTGAACAACATTAGCACATAAATAGGCAGTAAGTACTTAGTAGATTAATTTTTTAAACTTCGAATAATATGTAAGGTAAATTTAAAATAGGTTTTACGATATACTTATACATAAAAGTTACAATTTTGTTTAAACTAATACTTAATGTTTATGGTATACAATACCAATTAATATTAGTCATATTTTTAACTCTATAAAAATGTTACCATTCCTTGGTACTATAATAGGTTGTATAATACAAGTGTTTCACGACAAACTCTTCAAACAAATTGTGTAAAAGTATGCATAATATATTTTTAGGTTGATACTTACTTAAATAATCCTATTGAAAAGTATAATAATATTTAAATTTTATTAACAACATAATAGTTAAAAATATTAATAGATAATAGTTATCATAACAATTTATATTAAGTATATTGACATGTTATAATGGACTAAGTACGTACCTATTACATATTATTATATTAGTATATAATCATATGCATTATAAACCTAATTACTTCTGTTTACTTAATCACAATATAAATAAAAAATATAATCTATTTAAAATGAACATACATTTTTTGCAAAAAGATAAAATAAAAATTAAAGAAGAAACAAAAAATATTTGTACCTGTATTAACTATCCAGACATTTTTTTTAATGTTACTACAGATTTACAAAATAATTATGTTTTATTTAATTCGTTACATTTAATCAAATAGTCACATTATAACAGCTAGCAGAGCCGGCCTTAGGCAGGGGCTAGTGGGGCCCCTGCCTCGGGCCTCGCACTATTGTATGACAGTTTAAGTCTTGCGTTTATGAAATTATACATAATTTTATACATTTATACATATTTTTTATTTATTAATACATTGTGTAACAGGTATATTTAAAGTCGTTCCGATAATACAGTAACGCAAAATATGATTTGCTGGTTAATAAATATTAATAGCATTTTTTTTATTTAAATTATAATATTACATTATACAATAATCATCAACCGTCTACTGACGTAATTGGTGCATACTTATAAAAAGTAAGGTAATTTGTTGTCAGATCTTCGGGAAGATCATTCATGTTGGTGAAAGATCCGTTTAGTATAAATGAGATTTGTGTTAATGTTTTTAAACCGAAATTTTTTGATAAGACTTTCAATTTTTCATAAACTGTTTTCTCTGGATCACTTTAAACGGTTTTTATTGTATTCTCCATTGTCCACGATACTCAGAGAGTCTACTAAAAGTATGTTTTTAACCTGCAGTTTTAAAATTGATTCAGAAAGTACTATAAAGTTCGAATTTATATATACCTACTAAATTATTTTGGACATTTTGTTTCCCCAAATTTATTTTTAAACTTAAATGCATAAAGCATTATTCGAATCCAAAATATTCACAATATCACGAATTTCTTCATAATATTTGCAATAGTAAACTACGGCATTAATCCAAGTAGCCCAACGAGTTATAATGGGTTCTGGAGGTAAAGGGACGTCTGGTGCGTGGTTTTTGAAAATCTGTACATGCAATGGTGCTTTTTTAAATATTTTTTTCAAATTTGCTACGATCTTATCAATGGTACAAAATTGTACATGTAGTTTTTCAGCAACTCTATGGAGACCATTAGAAGCACAAGTCACATGTACCATTTTAGAGTACAGTGCATTTAAATCCTCTAAATTCTACTCCTTTCTAACTATTATATAGATGGAGAAAGTATTAATTGGTTGCCAAAAATCAAATAGTTCGGTGTTATTCTTGACCGGGAACTCACTTGGAACTCTCACATAGCAAGCAAACTACAACAAGGTCATCAAAAACTTAAGATGTTATTCTCTCTTTTAAATCGACACAGAGGCGTAATTATGGGGGGCAAGAGGAGGGCAAGTGAGATAAAGGTATAATTTCCCCCCCCCCCCAGATAATCCAACAGTACAAATAGTACCTTTTATTACCTATAATTTATATTTATCTAAACCATGAAATAAGTTAAAAGACTTATGTAAAATCAAACAATTAGATATAGTGTTTAAAATACATACAACAAAAATATGTTTTAACTGGTGAGGGGGAGGGGTGTCAGGGTTTTGGTAATAATAAAAATATTATATTGCCCCCCCCCCCCAAGGTTTTTTCCCAGTTATGCCACTGAATCGACATATCAAGTTAAATTGGAAGTGTTCCTTATTACTTTATAAACAGCTGCTACGTGCCCTCATACTCATTACATCACCAATTTGGGGAGCTGCCACAGATACTCTATCAATAAAATACAAATTATTCATTCTAAAATGTTTAGAATTATTTATATTAAACGCCCATGTTCATCCAAACATGGCACTTCACATTGATTTTAAAATTCCCACAGTCAAAACTTATATAAAAATATTATGGATCAAATTTAAAACATAACTGTCCAAATCAAAAGGAGCACAATTTTATCGCTTATCTGATTTTCCCCAACATTGTCGACTCAAACGGAGTCGTCCACAGGATAACTGTTGCTTTTAATCTACGAATTTCTATTGCATTTTATGTTTAATTAGTTGTTAACTTGCATAATTTTAATATTAGATATAATTTACCGAAACTCATAAAAAATTATTCACCAGACGATATTTTTAATGTGGACGAAACAGAATTATTTTTCAAATGTTTAACTGAAAAAACATTAATATTTAAAGGCCAATTTTTTCCAAGTGGAAAATATAGCAAAAAAAGAGTAACACATCTATTAGAGGCAAATATGTCGAGCACATTCTAGGTATTTTAGAAAATATAATTGAGAACAATGTATTAAATAAACAAAAATAATTAACTTTACACCAATTCTTTAAAAATAACATGTAAGTAGGAATGTAAGAAAACATTTTTTTATTTCTTTAATGTAAAAATTATTTTAAAAAAAAACATACTTTTTAAAAGTTTTTGATAACTCGACATTTTTAGTAAGTCGAATTACCCCCCCCCCCCCTTAAACTTTGAGTTATCGAGAGTCGACTGTATTAATATTATAACTAATATATATTATTAAACATACATCAAAAAAAAATTTTATGGTCTGTCAAATCTTGATAAATAAAAAATAATTAAATTCTTTCAACGGGATTTGCTTAGAGATTTTAATTAGTCTGCGGCACTTGCCCCGGGCTAAGGAATAGCTGGTATAAAACTTTATTAAAATTACCTGTTTTGGACTTAACCCGGTAGTTGTGAAAGACAACACTTTTTTTTTTAAAATAATTTTTTTTTCAACTATAAAATTATCCTAACACTTTTTTAAATAAACATTTGAATTTCTAATACGTTCAAAGGGACGGCGCGAGGGGGTGGGCAAAAGGGACAGTTGCCCAGGGCCCCGCGTCTTAAATTATAATTAAGGCCCCGTGGTTCTGATTTAATTGAACTTAAAATATTTTATTAATATTAATTATAAGACCCAACGTTTATTTTTCCCAGGGCCTCGCAAACTCTAGCACCGTCACTGTACGTTCATTAATATAAATTAAAAAAACTATATTCCTTGTAAGAATACAGTACCTATCTAAGATATATGTTTCATTAAACTGAGATTTTGCAAAACCGCATCGCTGATATCCCACCAGACGTTAATTAATTAAATTAATACCTAGACTTTATTAAAACATAAATTAGTATAGATACATTACATACTGTGTTTAAAAAAATATTGATATAGGTAGGAATTGATAAAAAAAAATTCTTAGAGAGCTCATAGATTGCAGCTAGGTAAATATCAAATATCAATGATAATTAAAATTAAGTTTTTTATTGGGTGAATAAAAAATAAAACTGATATAAATTAAATTTAAAATGAAATAAAACTAAATTTGATCTCAGATCAATATTCTATTAAGTAGTATTATTTTTTGGATGTATGTGTGTGTATTAGTATGCATTTAAATTTCATAAATTCTTTGAAGCTTAATGTTTATGAAAATGTGCTTATTGTGGTCTATGAAGTAAAATAGTATATTATTTATTAGTATATACATTTTATTATGTAAATATTTTGGTTTAATCTTATAATTATAGCGTTAATAGAAATTATTTTATCATTTCTAGAATGGAATTCAATGGTCTACGAAATGTTAGTTCTTTTATCTAATATCTACAAAAAATAATGATATATGAAATACATGGAGAAAATTTCATATTTGAGATATAAAAACAAGACAAAAATAGAGGGGTAGTTGTTTGTAATATGTAATTATATCATATGTTTATAAACAGTCACATAAAAATAAAAATAAATTTGAATTGATTTATGATTTATAGTTTTTGGTTTTGAATCAAAGATAATCTAAGGGCAGTGGCGCATTTAATATATATGCACCCCGGGACAAAATAATTTTTCCGCCCTTCAACCTTACCAAAAAAAAAAAAAATATAAATAAATTCAAAGTTAAGCGATAAAAAAATTAATTTTATAGTAATACATATCCTAACATTAATCTAAACTTATTTATTCAAAGTGAATATTCCTTTCTTAATATATATATATTAAACACAGGAAATGGAATCATCACTTAGTATATGCACAATGATTAACAATACATGGTTTTTTATTAGATTAAATGTATTAGATTTATTATTAATTATATATATAATAAAATAAACATGAAAACATCAAGTTAGAATATTTTGCTGCTTCCAAAAATTTTCCAGTTGGGGCATTTGCCCCTTTTTCCCCCCCTTAAATGCGCCACTGTTTAAGGGGTTTACAACTCCTAACTTAGCTTTGGTATTATTTACAATTACATCACTGATTTATGATAATGATAAAAATCTACCTGTCAATGGCTTAAATTTCTCTATTCTAAGAAAGTAATGATTAACAATATTATAATGTTATTGAGCCTTCATAAAATTGGAATCATCGTCACTATACTTTTTTTTTTTTTGGCTATGATCAATAGTCTTAAATTTATAAGTAATTATCTTATTATAAAGCCAAACTTAAAATAAATGTTGATAGTCCAATATCTAAATACTTGTTTAGTATATTATACATACACATACTTGGTAAAATTATATTAAAATATATAAAAATTATATAATTAAAAATAATTCAATCCAAACCTTACAAATCTTTTCACATTTAACAGTACACATTAAAAATTAAGTTCAAATAAATATTCCATCAGTCTTCTTGTAAGAAGACAAATTAAAGGAAATCGACAACTCTTAGGATACTCATAAATATAAAATAATAATTTCCACTATATTATACAGATAATTTATAAATTACTATATTTTATTTTTCTAATTTTAAATCCATATACATTGTTATACTATTACATAAACATTCTTCTTCACTATCATCCTCATCATCATCATCATCATTGTTGGTGTCACTTTCTTCCTTTGTATTGCTTTCAGGTTTTTGTGTAAGTGATAACATTTGTAATTGTCTAGGTATTTCTTTATCATAATCCATGACTTTGGATTGTTTATCATTCATTGACATCCATATTGATTGGTCAACTTCCATATGTACTCTTTCATGTACAATTGTTTTCAGCAATGCTTTAGCTTCTTCTTTAGTTTCTGCATAGTTCAAGCACTTTTGGGCATAATGAAATGCTTGATCATAATTCATACGATTTAAATTGTAATTTGCAAGGAACATATAAGCATGACTGTGATCACGTGTCTGTTCATCTAATCCATGTTCTTCAATATATTCTAAAAACATTTTTGCAGCATCATCAGGTCTTTCAATTACAACATATAATCTGAAAAATAAATAATATCAATAAATATTAAAAAAATTTGAAACAATGATTATTTTAACTCACTTAGCCAAGTAAATAAGTCCAAGTTTTTCATCATCTCCCATCGCTCGTCCTTTTAAATAACTTTGAAATGCCATGTCTATATTACCCAATTTTTCATACACATTGCCAACAGCAATTATCATACGGCTATCAAAGGGTCTAAGCAGTTGTGCTTGTTTGAAAAAATGAAGGCTATGTTTAAACATACCCAAAATTTCATATGTTTGACCCAAACCATACCATGCTCTGTACTCGTATTTGTTTATTTCTATTTCAAAAAATTAAATTTAAATATATATATATGTGAGAGGTAGTATTAGGGTAGTGTCAATAGTGAACAAGATGAGAGAATATAGATTGAGATGATTTGGGCATGTGATGAGAAGAGAGAAAACCAATGCAGTAAGAGTTGATATGAAAATGAACATTAAAGGGAAATGATAATGAGGAAGACCAAAAAAGAAATGGTTAGATAAGATTGAAAATGATATGAGATCTGTTGGTGTGTGTATATAGGGGATATAGAAAATTGAGACAAGTAGAGGTTTAGGACAAAGGTGGGCTACCTTAGTTAGTTGAGAGAAAGACGAAGAAGAAAAAGAAGAATAAATTCTACTGTCATTTTTTACATAATGAACCACAATGTAGTGTAAAAATGATTTCATTGGTCAAATTGTTGATCAGTTTAAGTTAATTTAAATTATCTTAGAGTTTTTAGCATTTTTTAGCAAATAGCTAACTGATAAGTTAACTTAGGAAAGCTAAAAAATAATATTTAGTAATAGTGTTATAGGAGCTATAAAAGGCTTGCATTTTGCACCAATTGAATTAAACATAAAGGACATAAACAGATAAAAAAAAGTACAATTGTTATTTTGAATAACATTATTTGTAATTTTTTTTAAATTATTTGTACTTTTATTGTTTATTGTTAATATTTAATTATACTTAATGGTACTTAATTATTTTCAATTTTTATCCATTAACAGTTTTGAAGCTTTTATTATACTTAATTATTTTGGTAGTTGTAGACTGTATAAATAATCTATGATAATATTTACTATAATACATACCTAAAGCTTTACTATAACTCTGTATAGCATCATTAGAATTTTTAAGTTCCATATATTCTTGGCCAAGTAATGTCCACGCAGCCAAACACAAAGGATTCAATTTAAGTGCACGATGGAAATAACGATTCGCTTTTAAATGTTCACCGTGAAGACTATAATAATTTCCAAGTATACAACAAGTTTCAACTCGATATTTATCAATTTTAACAACACGTTGAGCAAGATAAGCCAGTTCCACTCTTTGATGTTGTACATATAATAAATTTGAATATGTGTCCATATTTTCTAATCGACAAGGTTCAATTTCAATGAGGTCTTGGAACTTTTGAATTGCTATTTCAATGTCTTTAACAAAAGTAATATACAATTCAGGTTATTAAAGCATTTTAAATTTAAATAATGTTGTTTTCACCAACATCTTTTATTATGATAACAAACAGCTACTCTTGAAAGAAGAAATATGCTATCAGCAAAACCACAATTATATAAATACTGTGCTGCACCCAACATCTGCTCATTTAGCTGCAAGTCCAAATATTTTTGACATAAAAAGAAATTTTTAATCCAATGATTGGGTAACTCTAGTTTAGACAGCTAAAATTATGGATACTTTATTGTTAATGAATAATTAATACTTTTGGATATTTCATATACTGTGCATACTTTAATTCTGTCAACAATAAGATCACCAAGCTGCATCCAGGCATGCCAGTTGAGTGGTACCTTATGAATAGATTCTAAAAGTGTTTCAACTGCATTATCATATTGTTCTAATTTTACAGAAACCACACCAAGTAAATATAATAAATATCCATCTGCCTTATTTTCTTTGCGTAAAGCCATTAACTTTTTAGATAGTATATCTAAGCTTAATCGGTAATCATCAAACATGGAAGGTGTTGCTTCACTACCAATGTTTTTAATACTACTATCAGCTGCTAAATAATCAGAATAATATCTCAAAAATAATGGTATTTTTGAATGACAATTTTTTAGCCAAAATGATGCTCTGAAAAAATGTTTACTACAGTAATAAAATTATAAAGATTATTTAAAATAGAATAATTTACCTTTGATATTCTTTAAGATTGTAACATGCTCGTGCATGAATATATTGTTCCATTTCATTGTAAGGTATAGAAATGTGGTCAATAGAATAAATATCCGTAGGTTTTATAACTGGTAAACGTTTAAGTACTTCTTTGGAATAAAAATTTGGTCTTTTGTAACCTTCAATTTTTTTAGGTAATGGCTTTGGGGAATTCCCAACTTCTAATGACAAAAGAAGATCTGAAGCCCTATTCATAAAAAAAAATTATATAATTTCTAAATATGATTAATGTAAATATTTATACATAAAATATTTACCATTGAAAACTGGTTTTAAGTCCTCGAGCGAGGAGTTCATTCAAGCTGTTGAAAAGTTCTTTTTTTACTTCATCCAATTTAGGCATAGCATAGCCTACCTTCACCACATCAATATCCATTGTGTAGTTTCTATTTTTTGATATTCTCAATCAATTAAGGCACGAAAATTATATTTTTAAACCATAAAGATTAAGATTGTAGATATCAATAGATTTTTATTTCTTAAATAAAAAAATTAAAATTTATGATTAAATACTAAAAAAATATAACAATTAGCATTTTTACGAATTTATAACACCAGCAACAAGCCAACGGACAGTTTGTTTAATCTAATATTGAGTGATAAGATAAATGATAACACAATTAAATAAAAAATTATAACAAATTGAGGAGTGTCTAAACATAGGAATGCACCTTAAGCATTCTGTGCATGTGTGTATTTTATTTACTACTATCATGTTAAGCTGTTATCAATATATTATATCAAATCACTATAATACGATAATAATATTATTATTATTTACTGATCTTATTTATTACAACCCGGCATCTTAGGCCATTAGTTACAGTTTTTTTTTTTGTGATACTTTGTTACATAATTGTATTTACATTTACATTTGCATTATATTTGGTCTATTAATATTATTATAATCATATGAGTATTGAATCAAACTATTTAAAATTTGAACATACTACACACGTATTTTACATTTTTTTTTTTGTGCTTTGATCATTTCAGTAAATAGATAGTTAATGATGTTTTGACTTTTTTTTCAAATGCATCTGGTATGTATAATGATTTATTTATGATCGAAGCACAAAAAAAATGTAAAATACGAATGTAGTATATTCAAAATTTGAATATTTTGATTCAAAACTCATATAATTATAATATTATTATCGTATTATAGTGATTTGATATATGTTGATAACAGTCTAACATTATGATAGTGGTGAATAAATTACGCACATATGCAGAATGTATAAGATGCATTCCTGTATTTAGACGCTCCTATAAATTGCAATAAACCTCATATGGTAGCAAGATTAGATTCTTGAGCAGGAGTGTCATTTCAGTTTTTTTTCCGGATGTGCAAAAATTTTAAGTATACCAATTTATACATTTAACCAGGCCGCATAAAAAATATATATATTTGTATTATAAACGTATGTAAATATTATCACAGAATAGAATTTTGTTTTTATATATTTTATGCATTAAGATATTACTTTACAAATGAATGAATTCAATTTTAATAATATGAAAAATGTTATTATTTTATTTATAAAAAAAAAAACGTCAATTAATAAAGATGTATACACGTCATCAATATAGTCCCACAACATAACTGCAAGATGACAACAAGAAAAAAAAGACTTACAAAATTCGGCTACTTTAATTATGAATTTCGCCCATTTCAACACCTCAAAATCAAATTTGTTCAATATCCTTTCTTATTGCATGCCTAAATTATAATATAAACATACACTAAAAATTGCAACTTGCTAGTTATCATAGTTTATTAGCAGTTAATTTACCAATCTACTAAAATTAAATCTAAGCATGGATTTTTTTTAGTCAACTCATAAAAATAAATTATTAAATACTTAATTCAAAATATATTATTTATACAAAGCTTATAAATATTTTAGAATCTTCAAGGAATAATTGTTATTGGCATAAAAAAAAATTTAAAAAATATAATAAATAAATAATCAATATTCTATTTATACAATGTTTTTATTTTTTATTTTATCACAAGTGCACCAACAATAGTTACTGTTGAAATGTTAAATATAAAAGCAACAATTCTATAAAATACAACAATTGTAATATAATATGTTACATTAAAAATAAACATTTCGTTGTTCGCATCACTCAATTTAAAGTGCTCTACAGTAGTTACTATTCTGGCACACTGTATATACTAAAAATAAAATATATATATTAGTCATTAATAATATATACTAGTTTATTATATTATAAAATTGTACAAAATAGTAAAACTGAAAACTATACTTAATTAGATTTTCTTTGGTGGAAGATTGTCTACGCAATTTATATAATAGTGCTTAGCATTAATAATTATTAGATAATTGTATAGGCAACAGCTTTACATAAAAATATATTATCTATGTATAGAATAAATGACAGTTTTTTTTTTTTTTTTTTTAATATGAACATGTGTATGTAAATGTCAACTATTTTATAATTAAAGTAAGAATGTATCACATCTGAATGATTAAAGCTATGGACCAGTTATGCTTAGTCAAGATTATTAAGCACCAGATTAATTTATCTAGTTTCTCTACCAGCCAATTTATCAATGTAATCCTGTAATGGAGCCAATTCTCTTCGATCAATTAGTACAAACTCCTGTTGAAAAATTAAAAGTTTAAAATCTATTAATTATAAATCTAGGTATAACAATACTCACTTGAACAAAATATATGAAATGCTTAAAAGATGTATTGAGATGTGCTTCCTCACCTAAAGAAACTATTGAGTCAAAATGTGTATGATATATATGTGCATAAACCCTGAATAACCGTTTAAGTATTGTCTTAGCAATGGATAAAAAATTTTTAGGAAAAGGAACACCGATTTTTGAGGGAAACAATGTTTCGTCATCCAATTGATCCTGAACCCAAGTCATTAAATAATCAATGTATTTGGGAGCAGAACACTTAATAGGTTTCTTCACAGTAAGACCATCTGCCCAGTGATATTCATACTTGGGTCCCGCAGACATTATAGAACAACTTTCCTCAGTGCAAAACTCTGTTATTGTACCATACAACATGTTTATTTGGTTAAAAAAATCAACAGCTGCAACAAAACACAATATAAATGCTTAATATTTTTATATGTTAAGTACAATTACATAATTAGAATTTATAGTATATACAAATAAATATTTATAAATATATAATAGCTAAATTCTGTAAATATTTAATCAATGCTATTTAAGATGAATTTATATGTTTTTATTTAGCGGTGTACTAAAGTAATTTTAAACTTAATGCTTTTATAAATATTATACATCAATAACAATAAATATTAAACAGTTAAGCTAAAATACAATATCAGGACCAGTGAAATATATATATATATATATTATATACTTTATAAACTATTTATTATATATTTTATTTAATAAATTGTTGATAACTATAGAGGAAATAAGATGATATTGTTAGTTTATAAAATTTATATTTAAACCATTTGTAATCAATTAAACATAAATATTATAACTAATTTTGATGACTAAGAATTTATACCGCCATATTGCGAATATTCAGTTATTGTATAATACAATAAATTAATTATTAAGTAAAAAATGGTTGAAAAAAAATAAAATACAAATTGTAGGCTTAATTATATATTATAAAATAATATTACTCATGTAAGATTATAATAATTGTATAAAAATAAATTATAATAAATAAAAAAAATAAATATATATTATATATTATTATATAATAATATATTTTAACAATAGCTTTTTGACTGAAAGCATTAATGAAGAAATTTGTTATGAAAGACATGATTAAAATATCAATATAGTTTAACTATAATAGACAATACATCTATAAAAAATTAAATATCCTATACTATATAATACTACTCTTTATAGTTTAATTGAGATAGATTACTGATTATAATAATGTATAATAATAATCATAGAGTAAGAATTAGTCATAGAGCATTAATCTATGTTAATAATATAATCGTACTATGATAATATTACATACATAGAATAGTTAACATTTTATAAAACAATGTAAGAAATAAAATACGACTTCATTGTTTTATTATCACACAATTCTAAAAAAAAATTAAATATGATGAAAATGCTTATAAAAAAAAAAAAAAATATAAATGAAAAACAAAAGATTCAAGATATGTACTTAAAATTAAGTTTAGAATAGATTATTTAATATTTTTTCAATACATAGAATATATTTTGTATTATTGAGTGTATATTTATAGCATCAAATATTGTTCAACCTAACAAATATGAATTAGCTATCCACAAATTAGTATAAGAACAATCGGAATAATTAACTATAAGAATTTTTATAATTAAATTTGTATTAGTACTTACTGTTGACAGCAACCCATTCATTAAGATCTTCACCCTCTGGAAGAAGTACAGCCAATCTTAAATTTCCTGAACCAAGAGTTGCTGCAGCGTGTTTCATCAGATCGTATTGGTGTGTACCCTCTGGTATATTTTTCTTTGGTTTAAATGTTTTTGATGATCTGCCTCCACTATAAAATAAAGAAATATATATATATATATATATATATATATATATAAATATTTATACTTTTTAGCTTATATTATTATTACATATATATACACACATGAGTTAAAAATATATAAATAAAAACTCATACAACACTCACAATAGGAAGCTCATTATGATTTTGCCTAGTACATAAACTAAACTCTTGACAACCAAATATGTTGAATATTCTCTTATAAAAGTGGGTATCCCACTAACAAAATATACTTCTAAACACTAATTAGTAGTTCCACAGGCCAAAATGAATTAATGTTGATGGCGAAACAATTAATTAATTAGTAATCTATAAAAATAAATAACGAATACTATATTATGCATGAACTACGTTGCTCATAATTTAGACAAGAATTTTTATTTATACTTTGAATTAATAGCATTGGTACAACAAAAAAAACTAAATTATGTTGAGTATATCAGTTGGTCAGCTGTTTTCATACTAACATAAATTGATAAGAAATCATTTTCTTAGATGTTAGGTTCAAACATTTATTTTGTGGTTCAAACCACTACATATACATATTACTCTATGGTTAAAACCACTACTTAAAAAATAATTCTACCAACATAATTATTCATAAAACCATAGTTAATATTAACCTTTTAGTTAAAAAATAAATATATACCTACCTATTTTTTTTTCATAAATTCCTCATTATAGGTATTTTACGCAGTGTTTTAGAATGTATATAGTATTATGTACCTATTCATATATTAATAACTCTACAGTATTTATTTTGCAAGGCTGGGCATTAACAAGTTAAAAATTAAAATTAAGTTAAAATGTTAAGTTAATAGTAACTAAGTTAAGTAACTCGTTACTTTTTTTTTGAAACTAACTTTTAACTTAATAAGTTAAATTTTAAACATATTTAACGTGTTAACTTCAAGTTAATTATATATATATTTCTTAAAATTAAGTTATATTTAAAATTTTAAATAAACCATTGATTTTTTTTTTATTGTTGGCTTGAGAAATAATAATGTCATAACAATTTAATTGGGAAAATTTATAATTAATACCGGTTGATAATATATACCTACACAATATAATATATATATAGGTATTAGGTGAATAGCCTGTATACAGGTAATAGGTACCCACCAGCATGTAATAATTACTAAGTATCTAACTATAACTATTATTTTTTTATAGTAATAAATTTATGTTTATTGATGTTGAATATTGATGTCTATACAATATTACAATATACATACAGTATATACTATATACTATTCACTATTTAGTATTTAGTACTATACGTCTATACACAATACACATTATGAATACGAGTTATATGATATTGGGTATTAGGCCGTGCGCACATTGGATATGAATTCATTTTATATCAAAAAGGTACGAATACTGGTCGTACGAATTGGGTGCGCACACTGAACTCGTTTTTGTCCGTAAAATAGTCAGTGTTCCGATGATATCGTATTCGTGACGTCCTGGCAATGGATAATCCATTTCCGACGAACGTTAATGAAATCCGGATAAGTTCGGATTATTTTCGTACGTCGGAGCTACATGTACGTATACGTACAAACACCTCGCACCCAGTCTACGCACTCACATAGTATTTGGTAGGCCGGGATCGTTCGTGCGTGTACGTACAAGTTCACACGAATCAAATTTGTACGAAAACGCATTCAATGTGCGCGCAGCCTTACTATATATTTTGTATATTTTATATAATTAAAATTATATATATATATATATATATATCATTTTCATAATATATAATGAAAAAGGACATTGAACATATAAATTGATATACGTTTAGATAATAATAATATTATAATAGTAATTATATTATGAAGTCGCGACGTTGCGTTCGTGTACTTAATTAATTTTCTTGTAAACCATAACTCATTATACCTAGTGACAAGCATACGCCACACATCCCGAGAAACACGTTATTACTCACTTGAAATTATTAATATAACTCATGGGGAAAAAATTATTCTGAACATTCTGTTTCAAAAATCGTCAACTGCACACTTTAAATCCTCAGTAAATACTGCTTAGCATACTATATGGTTGGCCACATGAGCTTGACACAAATTCCAAATTTGTCATTCATTTTATTGGTTTTGATTACAGATTCGAAAATAATTACATTTTTAATTAAGTTAATTTTTTTTATCCATTAATTTTTAACCTAACGAAGTGATTAAAAATACATTAGTTATCTAATGTAATTAGTTAATAATTAGTTAATATATATTAATATATAATATTAGTATAATATATAATATTAGTTAATATATATTACTAATTATACTATTATAGTTTATAATTTCCCACCTTAGCAAAAAAAATACCGTAGCTTGTGGTTTTAGGGAAATAGTTTCTCATTTATATGAAGCGAATGTTCATAATTTTCTGCGTTTATTATTATATAGGTATTTTTACCCTAGCCATTCTAGTAATGAGTTATTGAAATAAAACGTTCCCGGTGGGAAATAATTTCCCACTACTTATTCACGGTATCTGATTATTCCGAGTTATTTATAGTTTTGTTTGAATTGAAATTTATTGTTGATAAAATCGTTTAATTTATCTGTAATCAGTATGATTAAATAGCTAAGTTTTTGGTCTTTATTTTCGTGTGACAATAAAATATCATTCATACTGTAAGTACTATTATTATTAATTTTTCGTGACACGTTTTTCATGTCAATATTTTTTTACTCAAACTAAAACGACTACAACAGAAGATAGATTGCTGTTATGAACTCAAAGTATGTATCAATTTAACAAATAAGTCATATGTAGGGCTCGGATTTTGTAGCAAAATAAATCCTTAAAAAAGCCAAAAAAAGCATTTATTAATTTAATTCTAAAAAAGCAAATTTCAATTACACATAAAATTAAATATTAAAAAAGGAATTCACAACCATATATTTAGTCAAGTTACTTTCATTGAAACTCATTCTATTGGGTGCTAATATATTTTTATACATAGAAAAAGACCTTTCCACGTCAACCGATGTAATCGGTGCATATTTCATATAAACTAAATAATTTGAATCATACTATTCCACATTTACGTTTAGTGCAGTGCCATTATGAATACTATTGACTTTTTGAAGTTCTGCCCATCCATTATTTTTTGAAAAAACACAATTGCACTTTTCTAAAATCAATTTCGCTACTTCGCCATTAGCTTCCTCTAACTTTTGTTTTGCTTCTAACACAATGCCTATACTTTTTGCCAAGGTTTCGCCTAAAAAATAATAATATATAAATACAGCAAATACTTGAAATAAAAATAAAAAATACCTCTTTTTTCTAATTGTGTAATTGCATGTGGTAAAAATCTAAAATTTGTTGTAATGTAGACGAGATTTGAATGTAGAGATTGATCTTTTATAAGCTCTTTTACAACATTCACACACTGGGCATTCTCGTTGAATTCTTCAACTGCACTTTTTATTTCATTTAAATATGTGCAATAATATTCGACTGCTGTAATCCATGTACCCCAACGAGTAGTGATTCGTTTAGGTGGATTTGGAATATCCGGACATTTTTTATTTAAAATAGCGATCCGTTTTGGACATTTCAGAAATGTTTTTTTCATCTCGGTAATTAGACGATCAACTTTTGGGAAATGTGCACGCACTTCTTCACACACATTATGGAGGGCATAAGCTAAGCATGTCACATACAAAGCTTTTGGATACAATGTTTGAATACAGCGGCCAGCTTTTTTCATATACGGCGCGGCATCCGAAACAAATAATAAAATGTCCTCGTGATTAACATTATTTGGCCATAAAATATGCATAGATTTGTCAAATAATTTAAAAATAGTACTATGGTTCACTTTATCTAAATATTCTGTGTGAATAAGTTAAGTTTTATCAACATCTTGTGGTTTCAAAATACCAATGACATTAGCTACATTACGTCGCACACTGTCAATTGTTTCATCTATGCAAACCCATATTTTTTGGCCATTCACAGCATCGCGTATTTTAGTTATCGTATTAGTGTAGCAAGAATCGAAGTATCCTTTTCGTAAAGTTGATTCATTTGGAATAGTTTTATTGCAATATTTTGAAAGAAATGACCGAAAATGTTCGTTGTTTAATTTGTTTAGGGGGATATTCGCCGCTACAAATGCGGAACATAGGTCAGCATTAAAATCAGACTTACAAAATTGTTAAATGAATGGCTGAACTGCATTATGATTTTCAGCTTCAAGTTTTTTCAATGCTTCTTTGAATAATATTCTCTTTGCCAATATGTTTTTGAACGTTATATTTTTTATCCGAATTTATTTTGTCTTCACACAATTTACAAAATATAATATTTCCGTCAGTCATAAGCACATTTTCACCGAATTTTCTTACGATTTTTTTTTAATTTTAAATTTTCATTTTTAACTTTTGGCATTTTGACGATCAAAGAAATTATTTAGAACACTACGTTTATACCTCACTGATTGTCGAATGATATTTACCGGCCAACTAAAGTATTAGCACGTGCTATAAAAATACGTAGGTATAATTCAGATAATTTTCCCTTTCCTTGAGTCGTAAATACAACTATAGATAATTATAGATAAAACTATTTCGGCACAATAACGATAGTTATTTTATCAGTCACATATTTATTACTGGTTTTTTCATTGGTTTTATAATTTCTGGTAATACTAATATAGTCCAAGACGTATAATATACATAGAAATAAGCTAAGTTTTCAAGAAAAATATATAAAAATCAAGAAAAAATAACCAAATAGGGGAAAAGCAATAAGGAGCAGATTTTATGGAAAAAAGCAAAAAAAAGTTTACTTCATTAAAATCAGAACGATTCAAAACGTATTTATATAAAAGAATTATCTTCTATCACACTTCTTTCAAAAGAAGCATTTGCTACAAAATCCGAGCCCTAGTCATAAGGAATCAATATATATATATATACAGTAAATGTATTACATACACCACAATCTTAATATTTTCACTTTATTGTGAATTTTTAATGAATAATTTATTTAATTTTTACATTAATTGCAGATGGATTATAAACTTGTAAACTAAGGATCAAGATATATTGTATGAGTTATTTGATATAACAGATGATATGGCAATAGATTCAGACATTAATATACAATAGATTCAGTAATTTCAACCATTGAATCACATATTGCAACTAAAATTTTTAAAAACAGACGCTGTTTTAGATTTAGTACCAAAAAACATGACAAAAAATCTAATATGATGTGTGCAACTTGCAATAAGGTTTTATGCAAAGATTGTTTTGCTGAGTACCATAAAACTTAGTATATTTTATTGATTTTAATGGCCTATTACTACAGTTGATATTTTTTTTTTTTTTTAGAAAGTTAATTTTATTTTGTAGACTGAATTGAATTATCTAAGTTAAGTTAATCTCATAATTTTATTTTGAAAAGTTGATTTTATTTATCTTTTATTATAATTTTATATAATGTGAAGTCTGAAATGTGAACCAAGATTATTCTACAAAGGTTTTAATTTTTTTTTTCATTATTAATTATTTTTTGTTTGTTTAATTAGTATAATAAATTATAAAGTTTACTATAATATCATAAGAATTTTATTTATCAGTTGAGAAGATTTGTATCTTTAGGTGTCATATATCTTAAAATACAATTAAATACCTATTTAGCATGTCATTTATACATTTTTTGGCATAAAAATAGTTAAAATTAAAAAAAAATTGTAGTATGGTATTAAGTGGGAAATTATTTCCCTTTGCCAATGGTACATAAATACGAAACTAAATGCTCAATAGGAAATTATTTCCCACCCTTTTTTTACCAATGTAAATGAAGTTACGAATTTTTTGACATTTTTTACAATAACTTACATCTGTTAAGAAGTAAATTTGAAAATTTAGTAGAAATCGTACTATATTTTTTTCTGTGCCCTCTAAAGGGTTAACTTAACTTACTTTTTTTTTTATATTAACTTAACTTAAAGAGTTAAAAAAAACCGTTAACTTGCCCAGCCTTGTTATTTTGAACTATTGATTTTAATAATATTTAAATTAAAGTTAATTATTATATAAATTAGTTATTGAATGAAATATTTAGAATTAGTTAAATTTTCAATATTACTGAGAAATTTTATATTTTCTTAAATATTTCGAAAACTTTTTTTATTATTATTATATTTTAAATGTTAAAAGACAATCTATACACATAATTTGTACAATAAGTCATTGTGATAAAATATATAATATGAATATAACATGAGTCACTTGATAGGGGAAGTCACACACTGGTAATACCCCATGTAGAATTGTATAGATAAATTACTTATCTAGTTTTAGTATAAGCTGATTGTAGTTCTATTATTTCGTCATAGTAATAGGTCGCGATTCCAGTTTCTTTTCAGTCTGCATGGAGGCTGGTCCGGAATAAGATTTGTGGACATTTTTTTGAATTAAGGGGTTAATATTCATTGGTAGTTTTATGTAGTAGGATTTATAATGGCGTTTTGAAAGTTCGTTTACTGTTTCTATTTGTAACTCGCTATGTAAAGCTTGATTTGTTATATACCAGCAGTGGCGGAGCTAGGGGTGTGCGAGCTGTGCGTGGCACAGGGCTCCCCGCTTCCTGAAGCAGGCCCGTAGCCAGGCCAAATCTTCAGGTGGGGCAAACAAAATTGTAGGAGGGCATTAGAAAAAAATCAATATTAATGCTATTTTTAATTTATTAATACTACTGTAATTTTTATAATAGGTACTTTAAATTAAAATAATAAGAATTAGAATAAAATGAACATAATTACATTTTGAATATTTTTATAATATATTATTTTTTGAATTTACCAGTTTTTTTAAAACTAAAACAGTTGTAATTTTCTATCTTTCTATCAATTTTATTAATTAGTCTACTTTGAAAAAAAAATCAAAGGATGTCAACCAAATTTTAATGAAAACAGATTTTCATAATAATAGCATAGGATTATTAATATACAGTCGAATTAGTAATGTAGTGTGGCAGTGGGGGTATTTATTTTTCCTGAAATTCCGACGATAACATATTAAGAAAATGCACCTATTATTATACAATTATTTTTCGTAAAAGTGAAGTAAATAATTTTCCAATTTTTTTTGCATATATTTGATGTTTTCTAATAAAACACTACAGAATTAGCCGCCCCCCCCCCCCCCCAAAAAATGTTGCTGCCCTAGGGAGATGCCTACAGTGCCTAATGGGGAATCCGCCTCTGCACATAATGTTATCACAGATAAAAATAATTGTTGAAAATCTATCTTACAATTTTCTCTAACATTCTGAATATTATTTTGAACATTAGATGCAGCTTCTAGTGCAGTTTTTAAATCAATATTTTCTATTTGGTGATATCGGTTGAGGGGAAAACTAATGGAAAGTATTTTCACTAAAATAAATAAAGCTGTTTGAAATGTTAACTGTCTTAACGCAATAAGAAGTTGACTTGCAGAACTAGAAGTAACAGAATCTGTCTAAAGTGTAATTTTATCTAGTGTGTATAAAACAACTGGTAGAAGTTCTTAAAATAACTGCATTATGGCGATCAACCCATCGAGTTGTACATAGATTTTGTGGTTTAAAACGATTGATATGTGGAAATAGTTCTTCTATTGACATTTCCATAATACTTTGCCTCTTTGGATAACCGAAAAAAGTATTTACACCATAGACATAAAGGTATCTACTAGTACTACTAATACTACTACTAATACTAATCTACTACTAATACTAGGTATTCTACGTGGGTGCCACTGACTGGGCATGTTTGGCGTAGTATATATCATATACATAGTAGGTTTTAGAAGAAAATCTTACTGGGAAAAGATCGCTTTGAAGACCACGATTTTGATGAGAGTATGTACTAAGGAATGATGTAAAAGCATTAAACTGGAAGATACAGGCATCGGATAGAGAAAATTGGAGGCAAGGATGTGTGTCGTGATGGTCCTAGTGGCCGAGTTCACTGAAGAAGAAGAAGAAGAAGTGCATATTTTGAGCATCACAAATTTTATTTGATTAGTATTATACATTTTTAAAAAATAAGTTTCATTAGGAAATTTCAAATTTTTACTTGAAAGTGTATAATTTTAAAGACATATCCAAGTTATATTTTTAAATATCAACTACTAATTCTCTAAATACTTTTACATGAAATCGCAAATGCTAGAAAAATAATGTATTTTAATAAAAAAATGCTTACATAAAAACTAAATAAATCAATTGTATTGTATTTATGAATACGGCATAAATCTAGCTTAGGGGCCAAGCGATTTTTTCAATTTTTTTTATCGAAACTCATGTATTTCATCGAGTTAAGAACGATGGTGCAATCAAAATTTGCCGCTCTCGTTTAGTTTCGAAGTTATGGCCTTCCAAATTTTTCGATTTTACGTTTATACGCATGCGCGCAACACTACTATAATGACGCGCGGAGGACCATTTTTATTATTTTTCTGTACTTACGTATTCGGTATACCTTTTTTTTTTTTTTGAAACTTATGTTGTTTTGCGCTTAAGCCGACGCGGCAAAACGCCTACGTATTTGCCGTACGCAATAAATATAGGTGGTCCTGAATCGCACGTCCTATTTTGGATCGATTAGAGGGATCGGGACTAATAATAATGAAAAAATAGAAACAATTCAACTATTATGTGGTATATTATAATATAATAACAAATTGTAGTTGGGCGCCCTTACATCAGTATAATAACCATTTGATTATACACAAAAATAATAAACTAAAATAGAACAATATCAAAAATGTAATCATATAAAGGGAGCTGTGCCTCCCAGTACCTCAATATGTTTGAGTCCCACTGGATTCTATCCCACGCGACCGTGGATAACTCGACACGTGCAACGGGGACTCAAATACACGGACGATCCGCAACGGCAGGGGCAAACTGGAATGGGTCCCGGGTACAAATTCTTGGTTAATGGCGAATCACAAAATAAAGGGTGCACTAACTAAATAGAAATAAAAAACTCTGTTCTAAGAACACCACAATCGTACGCCAAAATGCGCCAGGCCCACGCAGAGGCTCACACCACGGGAGTCACTTGACGATAGACAAACGCCGATCTCGAGAACATTCTCTATGGCCCCGGTGAACAGCTCAATCCGATAAGATATGAGACCGGTTCCGGGCCCGGAGAGAGTATAAGCAGCGAGTTTCGAACATATGTAGTTATTTAGTATGTACCTTGTGACCTACTTGAGGTGGTGTTGCATAGCAAGTCGGGGGATATTTTCGATTTGAATTTGATCGGTGGAGCCGAGTGGGTGCGACACGAGCTTGCGGAGCAAGCGAGAGGAGTTTTGCGAAGTGAGCAAAGCGAACGGAGCTGCGGAACGAAGCAACGCTCAATGTTATAAACAAATTAATTATGACAATGTGATTACCTCAAAATCTTAAGCGTACAAAAACACACATTTTCAAAAAAAAAATTACTCAAAAATGCAACTTTTGTTATTTTTATCGAGGTAACCACGATGTTTTGAAAAATCAACAGTTTTCCGGTTTTTTTGGTATAACTTCCGTAATAAAAAAGAGCGGCAATTTTTTCAATCAGATTCAAATTCAGTGCCTTAAAACACACATTTTGGGGGAAAAAAAATTGAATACGAGCTTGGCCCCTAAACTAGATTTGTTCCATGAATACTAATTACTACACTTATAAGTAGTTAAGTAGCTCACTTTGTGGGATTTGCATGAATTTCAGTAGTTGAATGTTAAAAAACGGACAACTATTTATTATACCTTTTCAGTCTGCACTGTATCATCATATTTATTATTTCTTATCATACTTAAATAATTATTATTTTATATGTTTGAAGGCTGTAGATGAATTAAATTAATTTAGATACCTTTCGTTTTTATATAATATTGTTATTCTGTAGTATAGATTATTGATTATATGTTATAAAGTGTAGTTTTAAATTAATAATTTTATTTATGCATTGCAATTTATTGTATAATACGTACCTTTGTAATATTTTAAAAAGTGGTAATTAAATCTTGCTAATGTGATACTATAATTTTTAATTGTTATGGTAAATTATTATTTAATTTTATTAAATTAAATTATCTGTAATAGTATCTCAATAACAACTGGCTTTTGCTTTGTTTCATTGTGAATAATTATTTTTATCTATTTTTCTAATACCAATTGTGTCAACCCTTTTTAGTAATACTTATTTATGTATTTTATAGAAAATTTTTCAATTAAAATAATATATTTTAAATCTTTGAAATTCTCTTTTGCTAAATATATCTTAATATTATAGGTCATATGGTATACTTATTAAATGATAATATATACTTCATATTATTATTTTTATTTGTTAAATAGTTATTTCAGTTAATGTTTCTATTTATAAAAAAAAGTTTACTTGAAAATATATTTAACAGTATTGAAAAATTTGCTGTAGTTATTATTATAAAACATTTATAAATTAAAAATGTACAGCCAATTAAAAAAAAAAACAAAAATTAGCATGTAGATACTTTTTTATAAAAATGTCACATAAAATACATATTATAAATGTTTTTAATATAATACCTTAATTTGTTTATATAGTTATTTGTGGTATATTATGATTTCTAATTACTTTTGTCATAGGTGTTTGAAAACTTGTAAAAATAATGAATAACCATAATGATAATGGAGACATTAATTGGTACCATGGAAAAATATCCAGGGATACGGCTGAAATTATTCTGTTAGATCATGGAAGTAAAGAAGATGGCTTGTTTTTGGTTCGAGAAAGTAATTCTGCTTCTGGAGACTATGTGCTTTGTGTTTTACAAAATAATGAAGTAGTACACTATCAAATACGAAGGCATGGCGAAGATGCATTTTTTTCTATAGACGAACAAAATATAATGCATGGTTTGGAAACTTTGATTGAACATTATTGTAAAATAAATGATCCAAGTTTAGGAGTACAACTGTCTCAGCCTATTGTCAAAGATCCTCCACCCCATGACACCAGAAGACATGGCCGTACCAATCTTTTACACAGGGCTATCACTCAAGCTAATTGTAAAGTTGTTACTGAATTGTTGAAATGTGGGTACCGAAATTTGGAAGCCAAAAATCAGGAAGGACAAACTGCATTACATTTAGCTAGTCAAATGGGTCACGACCAAATTGTGGAGAAACTTATTTCATGTGGAGCTAACGTAAATTGTAGAGATACAGAAGGGTATACACCATTACATTTTGCTTGTCAGAATAATTTATTAAGTACTGTAAAAATCCTACTTACAATTGGTGGTGCTAATATTCAATTAAGAAATTCATCTACTGGATGGGTAGCTTTACATGAAGCATCCAGTCGAGGGCATGCAGAGATTGTTTCATTGTTATTGTCTATGAATGCTCCATCAAGGCCACGTACTTTTGATGATGTTTTACCCATAGACTTAGCACGTTCCAATGGATATACTGAAGTTGAGCGTTTGTTGAATGAATTTATTCCACCTAAGCCATCTTCAAAAAAAGAACAATGGTATCATGGCAAGCTTGACCGCCATGAAACTACTGCCCTATTAAAATCTAAAGATGTTGATGGTTGCTTTTTAGTTAGAATGAATAGACAAAATGGTTATATTTTATCCATGATGTGTGGTCATCAGTGTTATCATTTTCAGATACAAGATCGTGAGAAATATTATTTCATTGACAATGGCCCATACTTAGATTCGTTGGAACATTTAATACAACATTACACCCTTTTTCCTGATGGTTTACCCAACAAGTTGGAATTACCTGTTAGTCCAGCAGTTATACCACCCCTTCCAAAAGGATTTCCTTTTACATTAAAAAAGCCAAAGCAACAAACTGAATTTCAAGACAGTATCTTGAGAGATAATTTGATTTTAGATGAAGTGATAGGTGAAGGAGAATTTGGTTCAGTTTACAAAGGTGTTTATCAAAATCGAGAAGGTTTTGAAGAGAAAGTAGCTATTAAAATGTTACGATATGATATGTCATCAACTAATAAATCAGAATTTTTACGGGAAGCTCATGTCATGATGCGTCTAAACCATGAATGTGTTATAAGACTTATTGGTATATGCGAAGGACCACCTTTGTTAATGGTACAAGAACTTGTAGCTCTAGGTTCTATGTTAACATATATCATCACACATCCTGAACTTGTGAGTCCAAATTATGAATTAAAAATGTGGGCTGCTCAAATAGCATCAGGTATGTCCTACCTAGAACAAAAACGATTTGTGCACAGAGATTTAGCAGCCAGAAATATTCTTTTAGTTGATAGACACCAAGCAAAAATTAGTGATTTTGGTCTTTCACGTACATTGAATGTGGATAAAGATTATTATAGAGCATCACATGGTGGAAGATGGCCAATTAAATGGTATGCACCAGAATCATGTAACTACGGAACGTTTTCAAGTGCTAGTGATGTATGGAGTTATGGTATTACACTGTGGGAAATGTTCTCATATGGACAGCAACCATATGAAAATATGAAAGGTGTTGAAGTAATTGGCATTTTAGAAAAAGGAGAGAGATTGCTAAGAACGCCAAGATGTCCAGTAGAAGTATATAAAACAATGGAAATGTGTTGGGCTTATGAACCTAAAGAAAGGCCAACTTTCAGTGAACTCTCCAAAATATTTGCTTCTGATTCTGATTATGAAAATTTTAAAGATTTTATAAAAATTTAGTATTGACTTTCTTGAGAAAAAAAAAATTATGTTAAAATCATATTCCTATTAGTAGTATTATAAAAACCATTTTTTTAATATATTTTATTAAAAGACAATTAATTTGGCAAGTTTAATTTTCAAAAATTAAATTGTAATATTATTGTTTCTTATTAACTTGAGCTTATTATATTAATATTTAATTAAATAAAAACTCTTTTTAGAATATTTTTCTACATAGTCTGAAGAATTATAAAAGATAAATTAAAAATAATAATTATAAATTTCAAAAATATATTTATCTATCATAAAATTTGTTTTTTAAATGTACAGTTTAATTTACAAAATTTACAGTTTGTTAAGTTTTACTATTTTTATAATGTTTAAGCTTGTTAAATGTTTTCATATATTTATAACATTTCATAACAAATGTTTAAACAATTGAAAATATTAGTTATAATTCTTGAGATTTTAAATTATTATATTTACCTCAAATTAAATATAGGAAGAACAATATAACTAAGAGTATTATATAAAGGGTAATTCATGATGTTATGATTATATCAATTAAGAAAATTATAATTTTTTTAAAAATGGTGCCTATTTAAAAATTAAATTATTATATTATGTGAAGTTTTACCAAATAGAAATATTAATAATATTTATATAAATATATATAAAATGTCTTTCATTAATGTTACTTTTTTTATAAGTACAATTTTGATCTTATTTTTTTTTTTTATATTTTGTTGTAATCAATGTTGCATTATTGAAAAATTATTTGAAATAAAAAGTAGTTTACTCATTCTTCAAATTTATTAATAATTCCTTATTTTTATAAAAATCAAACAATTAATTATTATTAATTATATAATATCTATAGAATTTAAACTATTCTTTTTGTAAAATTGCTTTTATTTTACATTTTACAACTTTGCATATTTTATATGTTTTAAGTTTAAATATAATGAAGTTACCTGTATACTATTAAAATTTAGAAATTGTTCGCTCAATTCAAACAGTTATTAGTTAAAAAATAAGTAGTTGCCATTCTAATTATATGTTATTTTGTTAAACTTTTTTTTTAACTGAAAGGAAATAATATTAAATTATATTTTTTAAAAATAATCTTTATAATATGTAATATTTATTATTTACTGTATGGTAAACATTAGTTATATTGTAACTATGTTATTTATTCAGATTTAATATACCTAATTCATCTTTTAATTTGCTATTTGAATGATATATTTATTTTATTTTAATTTCAAGTTACTGAATACAATTTATAATTGTTTTTAGATTCTGTTGAAAACAATGAATGTATTGGTTTTATCATGTGTGTTTTTTGTTGTTTATGTACATGGTTTTGATCAAAAGTATTGCTTCATTCATCACCTAATGAAAAATAAAAGATAAGGAGTGGGTACTAATTGATACATTTTGGGGGGTTGTTTTACATATTTCTTAATAATTCCGAAAAAACTGATGATAAGATATAAGAAAAATTGCAAATCAGTTATCATGAGGTTATTGTTCCTTGAGATTTTACTGTGGGAGGAAGGGGTTGGTAAAAATCCCTTCAAATAAAGTATCAATTGTAGCCTATTAGTTTAGATTTATTTAAATAATTATTAGCCAAGATATTTAAATAAATTGTTTAATAATTTTTAATTGAAGTATTTAAATACTTATTTGAAATACTTTTAAAAAGTATTTTTAACAACATTGCAGGAGAGATATTAATATATTATGACCCTCCCTTCTCACCAAATGTCTTCCTTATTCTGTAATATATATATAATAATTTTAAGGTATATGTATTATGTTGTAGCATGCTAACCGAGGCAAACTGAATGATTGGCCAGGACACCGGGACATGTCTTTAAAACCAAGACTGTTCTAATTAAACCGAGACGAATGGTAAACCTAAATATACTATAACATATATATTGTCTGAAATATTGGTATTATTGTAAAATAATTTTTAATAATTTTCCAATGTATTAAACATTTTTTTCATTTAGTCTTACAATTATTTTTATATAATTCATTATTTTAAAGACCAGTGTAGCAATATTATGATTTTTTAGAAATTCTTAGTTCAATAATATTGCGTTGACAGTAATTCAATTAATAACTAATAAGATCTTAAACAAGATAAAATATATTACAATTTTTATAAATGAAATATTACCTACAAGTACGTTAAAACATTTTAGTTCAATAATTTATTATTCAAATAAAGTGGAATAAAATAAAACACAGTTTTTCTTATCACATCATAAAGTTGTCAGTAGGTGATAAAATGGATGATAATCCGTGATTTAATCAAAACATGTGATTGCAAAGTTCATTTCATTATTTAGTTTTTCATTTTCTAATATTTAACAATCATTTGTGAGTAGTTAATTTTAATGTTTTAGTATTTCAGATATTTTGTTAGTGGTTTTTAATATAAATATGAATATATGAATATAACAATGTTTAAAATCAATGGAAACCAATTGGCTTTCATTAGTGTTACTGGAGCTGGCTTAGCTTTAGTTGCTTATATATTATTTGGTCCTTCAGATAAACCAAAATCTACAAAAAAACGTTAGTTAATCAACATGAATTCAAATATTTTATAATCTGATTATTGATTATTCGATAGTTAAGATTAAAAGTATTAATTGAGTTATATACCTATATATTTATAATTTATAAGTATTAAATAAAACAAACAATATATAACTATTTTAGACTGACATATTCATTAATAACAAATTTAAATTTTCCTGAATTGAAATATTGAGTTATGTTTGGATAAAATGAAATCAACATAATTATTTCAAAAATTATAAAAAGTATTAAATTAAAGTTCAAAGAAATTTTTTAGGAAAAATAAGTTAAAAGTATTTAAAATGTCAACATTTAACATCATATTATAAATTCTATAGACTAATTTACCTAATTATTTTTCTTACAGGTGGTTTTTGTGGATTACAAAATTTAGGAACTACTTGCTATTTAAATACATTATTGCAATCACTTGCATCTTGCCCTATGTTTATTCAGTGGCTTGATCAACAATCAAAGTCTTCAACCGTATCATACACTTTAAATAAAACACTCAAATGTAAGTTTTTAAAATACCTAGTATGGTTTATGCAAATTTTGTATTTAAATTTAGAGTTTAAATTTAAAATTTATATTTTTTTAATAAATCTAACATTATTTTAAAAAGATATTAAGGAATGAATATTAAATACATTAAAACAAAATATATTTTTAATTATTTATTTTTACATAATATAACCAAACTGTGTTTTTCCAAACCATTATTTTAATGCATTCAAAATTATTACATCAAAATATTTATACTTATCAACATGTTGTGATATGATTTTGAATATTATTTGAGTTAATGAAGTTACTTTGTAACTTTCCAAGATCATGAAAAGTCTTAATTTTATAATTTTGGAATAGTTACATATTTTAATCATTTAAATTTTATATTGTTTGTAATTAATAATATAAGGTACTAAATTAATCATAAATGCATAAAAAAACACTGTCTACAAGCAAATAATATGTTATTAATGTATTTAAGATATTTAATTAATATTATAAAATAAAATCATATCTAATGATTGGAAATAAAAATTGTAAATTTTTTATAAGTTATTAGTTTATATAAAATTATTTTAAAATGATTATAAATGCACTAAACAGTAGTGCTGATCTTTTTCTTGATTTGTAGTTTTAACAGGAGCAAGGTACAATGATGATGGTATTTTATCTCCTATAGAATTAGTAAATACTTTAGAAAAAGTTGGATTTCATTTCAAACCTCACCTTCAGGCTGATGTTCATGAACTATTTATTCATTTATTATCTGTGATTGAAGATGAAGCTTATAAGACAAGTTGTAGTGTAAGATTAGTTTAATGTGTAATTTAAAAGAGTTTTTGAATTATTATTATAACTGATTTTAGTTAGCTGATTGTTTAGAGGAAACAAATGGAAATTTAGTAAAAAAAGAAAATAGTCAAAATTTAATTCAAATTAAAAATAATGTCAATATTGATGTATATAACCAATTTAAATCAAAAGAAAATGCATTACCTAATAATATTCTTAATATTCCTGGGTAATTATTACAATTTTTATTTCTATTTTTTTAATTTTTAACAAGTTTGTTATAAATATTTTTATAGAAATATAATGTTTCGAAGTGATAGAAAATCATTGGATAAAAATCAAAATATTAAACCAGCACCTTTTCTTGGTTATTTATCGAATAATATTGAATGTTCTTTATGTCATCACAAGGTAAGTATTTAAATTTTTTAACTGGCTATGTTTACTATTTAAATATTATACCACTAGTAAAATTAATTTCTAAAATAGTAATATATGACTATTGTTTTTTAACCCTTTAAATCAGGTTAATGGATAAAATTGTTATTGAGTTTAGAGTGAAAAATTAATTGTTTTCTTTATTAATTAAAAAGTATTATGAAAAAAGTAACAGTTGATTTTTCTTTAATATCACATAGAATTTATTATTACAACAATAATGTTGGTTTTTAAATGTATGTACCAATAATTTATAATTATTTTCTATAGATTAAAAATATATTATAAATGTATATCAAGTAAATTAATTATATTTTTGTTTATTCAGTAATCAGTGCTCGATTTGAGGGGGACGCAAGGGGACGGAGTACCCCAACTAATTTTCAGAAATTTTAGTGTCTCCCTACTATTATTATGATATAATCATAACGCTCAGCCAGTTTCGGGAACATTCTTTTTTTAAAGTAAATAAAGTCCCCCTTCTTTAATTTTGCCAAGTCGAGCATTGTCAGTAATGGTATCACTATTAGATTTATTAAAATTTTAACATAATAGCCAATGTATAGTATAGTAAAGGTAATAACAAATTAAATTGTTATACATTTTAAATATGTAAATTATTCAGTTTATCTTTTTTATATTGGTTGTTAATTTTTAATATTTTGTAATTGTTGAGCTAGATTTATTAATAAAAAAAAAATTGTGTAAATTTTAGATGTTTTATAAACCCATATTTCAACAATACACAATATTTTAAGTAATTTTTATTAAATAATTCTTGTTTATTTTGCTGTGGTATTAATTACTCTTCTCCTTGTATATATAATTTATTTGCTTTTAAAATTAAAAGAATATTTTTATTAGTAATTGCTCTTACTCAAATATATAATTTATATTAATTATTTACAATCATAAGAATTTAATAAAATTTATTTTCAGTCTTCATTAAATTATGAAAAGTTTTATGTTATATCATTGAATTTACCTGAGCACCCTCAACTGAAAATAGAATTAACAGATATTTTAGAACAGTATATCAAAAAAGAAAATCTTGAAAATCTACCATGTACAAACTGTGATAAAAATAATATTGTTACTGATGGAAATTCTTGCACAAAAAGTGTCAAATTTGGAAAGGTATTTATCAAAGTTAAAATATTTGAATAAATTGTATAAAAAATAATCAGAATTTTTTTTTTCATCTTTTAGTTGCCTTCTTGTTTATGTCTTCACTTAGTAAGAACTCAATATTCTAAAGATAGGCCATTAAAAAGAAATGATTTTGTTAACTTTCCTGAATATTTACATATGGATAAGTATACTAGTGTTTATGACCAACTAAGTAAACTCAGACAATCTAGAGAAGATTATCCAACTGAATCAATTGAAAGGTAAGAATATAAAATAAAGATAGTTCTGTGACTTATATTGTACTTTATTAAATAAAATATTTAAACCATTAAAATTTTCAAGAAATAAACTGTAAAATTATTTAAAAATATATTTTATAAATTGTATACTAAAACACTTATACTTATTTTAGTAATTAATAATCATATTTTAAAAAGTAGCTTTAAGTCATGAAAGTTAAAAAAAAACATTATTGGGAACTATTGTTTAAATATATTTGTTTAACAAACTAATAAATTATATTTAATGTTTTTTTAATTCCATTAAACAATTTTAATAAGTATATTTTTTATAACTAATTTAATTCAAATGTTTTTATTCTTATTTAGATTAAGAGGAAATAAGTATACATTCAGATTAAAAGCTGTTATTGTCCATGTTGGTGAACATAATGCAGGTCATTTTAGTACTTACAGAAGAGGCATCACCTCAGATCATTCTAGACACAGGTGCAGTGATACAAGGTATTTCAATATTTTGCATGATCCTTTTCAAAGTAAATTGGTAGATTACTTCAAATTTACAGTGTTTACAGTTTTTAACATATGATAGTACGGCTTAAAATATTATATTTTCAATTTTTACTTTTTAAATATTGACATTATAGTTACTTTATTTGATGACTACGGTATTCGATTAGTATATGACCTACTGAATGTGTGACCACTGTATAGGGTACTAATTTAAAACAGTCAAATTAAAAATTATAAAATTAGGTTATTTTATTATTACAGATTACAGATGTAAGTTAAACAATAGTATTTTAACTCTTGAATTTATATTAACTCTTAAGCAGTCTTCATTATTCTGATTTTTAATGTAGTATTTATAAAATGTTTCTTTTTGCTAATAACTTTTTGTGGTTGATATAAAATACAATTTAATAATCAAAATCCATTTTTATTATCATTGAAACTGCTAGGATTTGCTTTAGAATATATTAAAATGTATTAATTTTTAATAAAATCATTGATTAAAAATACTTTCTAGTGCTATTAATACTTAAGAGTGTTACATATTATGTTTTTAATCAGTAGTGATGTGTAGTAGTGAACACTAATTTTTGAAATCGAACCAAACTTGAATCATACTTAAAAATATTTTTTCAAACCCAAACCTAACCGTATATGGAAAAATTTCAAGTCGTAGATAAAATTTAATTAATTTAATTTAATTTAATTTAATTTTTTTTTTTTCATTAAATTGAAAATTGTAATGGCTTCAAACTGAAGTCATAGTTTCTAAACTTTAGGTCAACCGAATATTTATTTAAATGTTTATGGCTGTGCAATCAGTATAATAAAATTTTCATAATACATAGAATTATAGAATGTAAACATGTTTTTATTAGCAAAACAGTGTTGAACCGAAATAATTTTATATTTTTCCAAATTAGATTTTTCCAGTTGTATGATAAAAATACAAATCTGATAAATACTAATATGCAGAGCTCAATACATATTCATTATAATTAGGCTTAGGGACTTATAGTATTTGCATACTTTTTTTAATTATTGTTAAATATAGCAGAGTGAACTATTCGTTTTATCAATACTAGTACAGCAGTACACAGTTCAATGGTAGTTGACACTACTTATGGGCAATTAAGTATTTCTTATCTAATTGTAAATAGCTGCTTACCATTTATAGGATTTCAAACAACGAACCACAGAGAATTTTTAAAGAAGTTCGGGAACTATTTTATTTCTACTATGCTAACAATTTTTTTCGAACTATGTATTGTTAAGTTACAGGTACTGAAATAGTTCAGAATAGTTCATCTAAGTGAATAGTTCAAATGAACTATTCATTCACGAACTTAATATCTCTAGTATTCAGTTCAGTCGATTATTATCCGTCGTTGTTTTTCCGTACTTAATCCCGACCCCCCTACATCGGAATAATACATTTTTTTTTTTTTTTTTTGCCAATATTTAGCATGTAATTAGCATGTATTTGCATGCCGATTTTTGTAATTTGCATGATTTTCATTCAGGCATGGTATGAAAAAAAAGATGGGGGGGATGGAGACACGTGTTTCCAGCCCCCCCCCCAACTACCATTAATAATAAATTTAAATGTTTTTTCTATACCAATATTTACCATATATTTGCATGGCCGGTCCCAAACCTCTACTGTTATTCGTTGGTTCGCAAAATCAATTAAACCGATTTGCATGTGTGTGTGTCCCTACACGAAATATTTTGAATTCCAAAATTTCTTCACGTAAACATTTAGAACATTTCTATGGTCGGTCCCAAAACTCTATACTTCGTCACCTAGTGATTTATATTATAGTTATTAATGCAGTTTTCCTAAAGTTGTGTGTTAATCATTTATTTTAAATGTATATAATGGTTAAAAGGCTTAACTTTTATGTTTGATTGTTATATTATTCTATGACATTTAATAATTACTAATTTTGTGACCAATTTAAATAATATGTTTAATGTATAGTTATCTTTATTATTTATAATTTAATAGTTGACAGTATTCTATGAAATTTATATAAATGATAATGCAAAGTATAATATTATTCATTTAATTTATAACGATTCTTTACTTAATTTAAAAATGTTGATAAAATTAGATACTGGTACACAATTAAATTTCATGAAATTTCATACCTTTTTTATTTCATACCCAAATTCCATTTATATTTATACAAAATCTACCCGAAATAGGAAAAACTACATTACTTGAAATATTCAATATAATGTGGACACAACACAAGTTCCCAAAAAAATGGAAACATGCAACAATAATTCCAATACATAAACCTAACCAAAACAAATTCTTAGTACAAGGATACAGGCCGATATTACTTTTATGTACAATGAGCAAAATATTTGAAAAAATAATCAGCGTCCGACTTAACTGGTTCCTAGAAAAAAATAAACTACTCGCAGAAGAACAATTTGGATTTCGGAAAAACAGATCTACCTACGACTGCCTCATAAACATTGAGACAGAAATATGCGAAACAATTGCATGTAATCAATACATGGGACTGATAAGTTTCGATATACAAAAGGCATACGATATGACATGAAGATACCAAATTACTTCAATCTTACTTGATTGGGGCGTTAAAGGTAACATTCTATACTTTATACAAAATTTTTTAACTGATCGTACATTTGAAGTTGCTGTCAACGGACAAAACTCGTCGTTATATAATCTCAACAACGAGATTGCCCAAGGCTCCTCCTTAAGTGTAAAATTATTTCTAATAGCAGTAAATTACTTAGCTAAACGTATACCATCCCCCGGAAAAATTACATTATATGTGGACGACAGCAATATCTTCGTCCGACATAAATGTATTGACACTATAGAAAATGAACTTCAGAAATACACAAACTCGTTATTCGAATAGAGTAAAAGCACAGGATTCAAATTCTCACCTGAGAAATCTCAATTAATAATTTTTACACACAAAATAATTAATAAAAAACTTACCATTAAAATGGACAACAAAATAATATCTTATACAAAACACTTAAAAATATTAGGCCTTACCTTCGACGAAAAACTTACATGGACAGCACACATAAAAAAAATTAAATGACATAGCAAAAAAAAGATTGAATATTATCAAAGTACTCTCAAGTACGAAATGGGGAGCAGACGTTAAGACCCTTATAAATATATACAAATCTCTCATCAGATCAATTTTGGACTACGGATCAACCCTATACATGACAGCGAAAAACTCAATACTGGCAAAACTTGATGTTGTCCATAATGCTGGCCTAAGAATGGCATCAGGTGCCTTTAGAAGTAGCCCCATTAATAGCATACTCAATATTACGGGAGAACAACCTCTTAGTAGTCGAAGAAATCAGCTTATGCTTCAATACGCAATAAGAACAGCAACTGACCCGAATAAACCAACGTACTCCATAATTTTCAACAACAGATTTTAAAATAATTTTAATAACAACCAAAAATTAATACGACCCATATACAAAAGGATTAAAGAGATAGAACGAGAACTTAAATTAGAAATAAATAATATAATTACTAAAGAATTTGACATGTCAATAGCGCACTACAACAAAAAAGAAACATCAACTCATACATACAAAAATTTATTCTATGAAGTATCAAACAAATTATCGAACCACATACATATATACACAGACGCCTCAAAAACAGACAATGGCGTGGGTGTTGTGGCAGTCATCCAACAGACCGATCTCTCAGAGATGCTGTCCGATTATTGTAGCATATATTCAGCTAAAGCACTCGCTATATATTAAGCCCTATCTTATATAATAAGTACTAACTTGCAAAATAAAAAGTATGTAATTTTTACAGACTCTATGAGCACTTTAACTAGTATTAGTAATATTAATAACGATAATATCATCGTCAATAAAATTATCAACTTGACACATACATTTAGCAACAACATAATTGTTTCATGGATACCTGGACACTGCGGAATAACTGGCAACGAAAGGGTGGATAAACTAGATAAAAAGCGAACAATCTAAATCAACAAACTCTCTGGAATATAAACTCAGACAAAGATATTAAAATAATTATATACAACTGATTTAAAAACAAATGGCAAAATGAATGGGTAAAAATGGACACTAAATTAAACGAAATAAAAAGAACTACAGAAAAATGGAATAACCCAGTTTTCCTCAAAAGAAGAGATGAAGTTATATTAAATCGCCTAAGAATAGGGCATACATACTACACGCACGCACATCTCATGAAAAAAGAAACTCCCAAAATATGTCATATATGTGGACATCCAACTTCAATCAAACACATCATCACAGAATGCAGAGACACTCAAGAGGCCCGAATAAAACACAACATACCTGAGCACCTTCACGACGCACTCGGCCCGGACATAGAAGCCATCCAAAACATATTATTATTCATAAAAAATATTAAATTGTACAACTTAGTTTAAGTGCCCTTGTAAAAAAACCAATGGTCCCGTTATCGAGGCTTTCCTTTTTTTTCCCCCTTAATAAAAAAATAAATAAATAAATAAATTTCATAGAATACTGTCAACTTATAAATTATAAATAATATAGGTAACTATATATTATAAATATTATTTAAATTGGTCACAAAATTAGTAATTATTAAATTTCATAGAATAATATAACAATCAAACATAAAAGGTAAGCCTTTTTTAACCATTATATACGTGCAAATCGATTTAATTGATTTTGCGAACCAACGGATAATACTAGAGACTTGGGACCGGCCATGCAAATACATGCTAATTGTATGTTAAATATGGGTATAGAAATAACATTTAAATTTATTATTTATGGTAGGTGGGGGGGAGGTCTGGAGACACGTGTCTCCAGCACCTCCCACCTTTTTTTTAACACCATGCCTCAATGAAAATCATGCAAATTACAAAAGTTGACATGCAAATACATGCTAATTACATGCTAAATTTTGACAAAAAAAAAAATGTATTATTCCAATATAAGGGGGTCGGGGTTACGTACGTGTTGTTTTTGCATTTCGCAACTACACAACGTCGAATTATACATAAAATTTCGTACGCATATATTTTTTAACATTGTGTAATACCGAAAGTATTACAGTCTACGAGTAACTGACTAAAAAGTTTTGTTTCGGAGTTTAAAGATACATTTAAATCTGATGGACACGTTTTATGTTGTGTACTATGTGGTCATTTTTTAGAACTATAAGTCTAAAAGCCTCATTATAAGTAACACTAATGAAAAATTGTAAAAAAAATTTTTCAAACTCAAATTCGATTTTTGAATATTACCTACCAGAAACTTGATAATTAAGTTTTTCATACACAGTTCGAATTTTGAACCGAACCGAACATCAAGAGTTCGGTTCAGTTTGGTCCGACCAATCACTAATAATAAGTAGTTATAATGTAATATATTATTAATTTTCAGTATTACGTAAAAACAGCGAATGGATCTGCTAAGAAAACTATGTATATTTTTCAATTTAAAATCAATGATTATCTCTATATAAAAAAACATGATTTTTATAATTTATTTTATTATAGTATATAGGTACACATTTCTTTTTAATTATTGGGTAAAGATGTATGAGTATTGTAAATTATTATCGTAGCATTTTTAATATTTTGATTAATTATAATTACACTAATATAATATTAAGTGCTTTTAGTCTTGATTGCAAATTGTATTAAAATAAGTCTATCACATTATTTATTTATTTATTTTATATTATGTTTACATTTTATATACTAAGAAATTACATATTATTTCTTTGTGTGAAAAAAGTAAATTTCAAAAATTTTACAAAATTACAAGTTTAAATTTTAAATTAACATTTTATATTCTTTAAACAATATGTTTCAAACAGTTGTAGACCATATATTTGATTGATAAATTAGTTATAATTTATATTCTTATAAACTGGTTTCCCAGTATTTATATGATGTAAATATATCATTTAAATACTTCTGTGCCAGGAGGTATGACATAAAAAAATTGAATCGTGAATTTCGAAAAAGGCTCATATCTAAAATTAAAATTTTTTTGGAAAGTAAAAAAATTGATTTTTATTTTTTAAATTATTTTCTTTATTTTAGCAACTAACAATAATTCATTCATTCATTCATCACAATAGAAAAGAGATATAAGCCCTTCTCTCTCATAAAATATCAGTCTATATGTGTAGTTGAAAAAATATAGCAGTCTATTTTAATATAATATAAACTCAAGATGTGCCCTTTTCGAAATTCACAATTCAATTATTTCATCTATGAATTATGTATTTTAAAATTTGATACCTTCAAATATGTTATTTTCTCAATTTATGCCACATGCTTAATATAGTGTTCACTATTACAATTTCTTATTAAAGATTTTTAAAGTTGAAAATTAATAAATATTTAAGACATCAATTTGACTGATTGATAAGCCTCTTCACAACTTTTGGAGTACTTCTCCTATTTAAACTTATATCTAAATAATATCAGTAGAAAATAAATAATTATTTCATCTAATACAATATTTGCTTTGGATATAATTCAAATTCAAATTTAATTTAATTTTTTTGTACTAATTTTATATTTTATTTTTGTAGGTGGTACTTCACTTCTGATGCACACATTGAAGAAGTTACACTACAGCAAGTTCTACAATCAGTTGCCTATATTTTATTTTATGAAAAATGTGACTCATAATATATAATAGTGCTTAGATGGAACAAATTAAAATGAAAAGTTATAGTTAAATTTATTTTTTCACTTTAAGACTGCCTTATTAAATACCAAGACTTAAAATAGTTGTTTTTCTTATGTACATTGTTGTTTTGTTATGATGTACTTGTTTATATATATACTAGGTTAGTATATTAAAATATGATTTATTAGAAATTCCAGAACTGTATTCATGTATATCATAAATCTATTAGTAATGGCATATTAATCCTTTTTTTTACAATTATTTTTAGTAAAACTGAAGATATTGATTAATTTTATTAGAAATATGTATAATTTTTAGTTTATTTTATTAATGTTGGTTAGTGTATACAAATAATCATATTCAGAAATTAAATATAATATGGTTGATTATAATTTATAGTTGTGATTCTAAATTCAAAGTTTAAAATTCAAAAATAATATAAAAAAAACTCTTAAGAAATTACTTCAAGGTAATAGTGAAGGACCTACATTTTCATCAGTTAGAGAAAAATGCAAAATTACATATTAAAAACTTCTAGACGTTACATTATCATTAAATAACCGATTTAAAAAAAACGTAATTAATCATTTATGTAAACTTGAAAAATTTATAATTGATAAAGAAAAATAAGAAACATATGATAGTTCCTTTGATGGGATTGATTATTGCACAGAGTAGGGTTATCAGATTATATTATTCCGAACCCGGGACTTTATGAATGGATAAATATTATAAATATATATATTTTAATGAATTATGTATAGAAGCAATACCTATAATAATAATAATAATAATAATAATTATAATAATAATCATAATAATTCATATTCTTAGTCTTCGGATCTTTTGTGGTTTAGAGTTTCTTCTGCTGATTTTACTACATATTTGATTGATCCATAAACTTGTTTTGATAAAGACTTGTTTCCCAAACTTAGGTCGTAGAATTCTTCATAAGATGTGTTATAGAAGCACGTTTTTATAATATACCGTTTTTATATCTAGTTATTATCTTGAATTTGTCCATGTGCTGTTCATCAGTACATTTGAATCCGACAAAACAAAAATAAATTCAACAACTTTTAATAGCTCAGTGAATATTTTGAAAATATATATTCATTTATTTTCTATTTTTTGACAATGCCACTCGTTAATTTGTTGATTAATGTTTTCAAACATTTTGAATTATTCGAAAAACATTTATTCATCAAAATTAAGACTGATATTATAGCGTTTATAAAGGTTACTGATTTTTTGACATTTTCCCAATTTACTATTGTCTTTGGAGCTAATGTTATTCATAACATTGATTTTAAATTAGTTACATGTTGATTTGAATTGTTCTATTTTTTTTAAATAGTTATAACAAAGTACATAAAATTCATCACATTAACTTTCAAAATTAGTTCTATTGATAATTCCTCGTCCTTAAGTTTTGTTACGAGATTTTCAATTTCTACCGTGAGAAACCAACCCTTTATTTTGTTTTCAATTTTCTTGATATTTTATCGAGTAAAATTTTGAAACCGGAACAAATCGCTGTTTCGAAACACTTTCCCGGGACACCGGGATACTTGGTTAAAAACTGGTAGTGTCCCAGTAAAACCGGGACGTATGGCAACCCTAGCATAGAGATATGTTTCTAGATATTATAAAATCAAGAAAAATTAGTATAAATAGTACACAAGACGCCACATATGTATTTAAATCGGATAATTCGCTTGGAGGTATGTTAACAGGGTTTAATAAACTTCTAAAAATTATGTTGACTGTTCCAGTATCGTCTTGTACTGCGGAAAGATCTTTTTCACCACTACAAAGATTAAAAACATTTTTAAGGTCTACAATGACACAAAATGGTCTTAATGATATTGCTTTGTTATGTGTCCATCGTAATGAACAGTGCCGCAATAACCGGGTGTGTTGCGTGTGTTAAACACACGGGCCCAGGGCCCCAACCTATAATGGGGGGCCCAATGATAAAAATTGAAAAATATGTAGAAAGAAAGAAAATAAAACGATTTTGTTATAATAATAATATAATAATAATTAATAATGATTGGACAATAGATCGATTTTGTCTTGTACACAACGTTATCGTATATTAACGTTTCTTTTGCGACCCGTATAACATAAATTAAAAATAGTTTGGTTGCAATTGATTAAAGCGCGTCATGCGAAGGAACGCGTATTTTGACCGGCCTATATAGCCATATAGTATGAGTGTGTGACGCATCTCAATTAGGTATTGTTATTTATTTTTGTTATGTGCCACGCGCGAAAACCGCGATCGGGCTCGCTTTTATATTGCACGACGACGACGCTCGTTGAAAATGCGGGATCTTCGACAGTCTATGTTTTATATTCGGTCAATTGACAATAAGCTATCCATTTATTTAATTTTATTTACGTCTACAATAAATCATGCCGCCAAAAGCTTTAAGTGGAGCTGCTAAAAGAAAAAAAAAACACCAATTACAGTGTAATATTTTAAAAACCAATCAGAAGATAAATAATTTTTTTGAAAGCAGTCAACATAACAATGGTAAGTACAAAATTATTTCATGAATAAATATTGTTGACTAACAAGATGTTAAAATGTTAAATTATTTAATAGATATATATATATATTATAGATGATTGAAATTTTGTTATTTAATCTAGGTATTTATTAACAACTTGACTGCAATATTCATAATTCATACCTATATCATGGTCCGTGAGACTCTTTTTTTGACCTACTTAATTTAAATAAAAGGGTTAAAATTGAAATTAGATGGAAAAAAAACTCAAAAACTTCAAATGTATTTATATTACTCGATATACTATTATAGTAGGTACCTAAAATTAATTTTGGTTTAATAGTTGTAGAATGTGATGTGGAACTTGAAAGTGTTGGACAAATATCTAAAAATGATTTGAAGAATATTTTAGACTCAAAAGAAGATGGACAAGACACAACTAATACGTACACTGAAAATAATAACTCTTCTGATGTTAGCACTTCTACAGGTATACACTAGCTCAAATTTATACATATGTTAATAATATTTCAGTATTGTAAAATATTTTTTAATACCTATGTTTGTGATTTTAAGAATCTATTCAAATTCTATAATTACATTACACTTAATATAATTAAATTAATTTTGTTTTTATAGTTGTGGAATATGATGTGGGACTTGAAAGTGTTGGACAAATATCAGAAAATGAATTTAAAAGTATTTTAAACTCAAAAGAAGATGGACAAGACACAAATAATACATACACTGAAAATAATAACTCTTCTGATATTAGCACTTCTACAGGTATACACTAGCTCAAATACGTACATATGTTAATAATATTTTAATGTTGTTAAATTTTTTTTAATACCTAATATTTTTGATTTAAAAATTTCTATTTTATTCTATACTATTAATTATTATTATGTATATACTTTAATAATTTGATTTTGATTTTTTTCTATTATTACAAATGTATTACTTTTATATTATGCTATATTATAATAAATATTTTAAAACTTATAGATTTGAATAGTATGCTGAATCTCCAATATGATTTCCCAACAGACATAGCCAAATTTCCATGGACTATTACTGATGCAAATTTAATAAGAAGTTTGATTTTATATGGACCCTGTAAGCCAGATATTAACTTTCCAGTAAATAATAATGGTAAACGTTTTTCATCTAGTTATTATTTTCTAACAACTAAATCTGGTACAAAAATTCCAAGAACCTGGCTATGTTATTCTTATAACTTAGACTGTGTGTATTGTGAATCATGTTGGCTGTTTGCTGATAGATCTTATGGCAAATTTAAGTGGGATTGGATTTATGGTATTAATGATTGGAATCACTTGTCACAAAGTATTCAAAGACATGAATCATCTATTCAACATTTGGATGCTGCAAAAATTCGTTCCATTTGGGTTAAAAATGAAACCATTGACGCTAGTTTAGAAAAACAATATACTGATGAAGCAGTGAAATGGAGGAATGTATTGAAAAGGTTGATAAAAATTATACTTTCTATAACAGCAGGAAATTGTGCTTTAAGAGGGAATGAAGGAAGCCTAAAAATTAAATGTGCCACCGAAGGAAACTTTTTAAGAACAGTTCGATTACTCGCAGAGTTTGATCCTATTCTAAATGATATTTTAAATGATGAAAATCAAAAAATTAAGTATTTAAGTTGGTCTATTCAGAACGAGTTGTTAGACATTTTGTCTACAGAGTTACGTCATTTAATTTGTAATAAAATAAGATCTAGTAGTTTCTTTTCTGTTATATTAGACTCAACTCAAGACATAACCAAACAAGACCAAGTTAGTCTTGTAATTCGTTATACTACATTAGATTTTGAAAAGAAACAAATACAAATCAAAAAGTCGTTTCTCGGTTTTTATTTACTATCCCATCATGGTGCAGCAAATTATGTAGAACTTTTAAAAAATACATTAATGAGATTGGATTTAAATATTATGAAATATCGCGGTCAAGGATATGACGGAGCAGCAGTGATGAGTGGTTCAATAACAGGCGTTCAAAAACAAATTTGTGATATTGTACCTAACGCTATATTTGTTCATTGCTGTTCTCACAATATAAATTTGGTTTTATGTGATGCTGCTAAAAGTACTAGAAAAATACAATCATTTTTTGATACTGTGCAAGACATCTACAATTTGTTTAGCTCAAGTTCGCCAAGATGGGCTCAGCTAGCCTTTGGTGAAGAGTACGGGAATAAAATAAATAAAATAACTTTAAAAAAAGTGTGTCCTACTCGATGGGAAGCAAGACACAATGCTTTATTTTCATTAAAACACAGATTTGTTGATGTTTTGAAATCTCTTTCTAATATCCAGCTTTCAAGTTCCAAAAAAGATGAAATAAATATGGCTACAACTTTAAAAAAAAAAAATGGAAAATGCTGAATTTATAATTATTCTATGTATATGGGAACCTATTTTAAAATCCTTACAAGTGGTATCAAAGAGTATGCAATCAGTTAATTTAAGCTTACAAAAAGCATCAACACAATTAGAAAGTGCTATTTTAATTATAGAAAAGTTGCGGGATCAATATGACCAAATAATAAAAGATTCAAGGGAATTATGTATGAAGTGGAATATACCCTTCAAGTTAAGTGAAACTCGTCAAAGATATGCAAAAAAGTATTTTGATGAAGTAGACAGTGATCGCCGGCTTACTACAACTGATGATAATTTTAGAGTTACTATATTTTACCCAGTTGTAGACACAACACTATTACAATTAAGAGTTAGATTTAAAGGAATGAAAACTGTGTGTAATGATTTTATTATATTAATGCCTGAAATATTAACATCAATGTCTGACGAATTGATTGTTAAGTCATCATATGACTTTATTAACAAATATAAAGAAGATATCAGTTCTGATTTCACTCGTCAACTTATTATAATTAAAGGCTATTTATCTTCCAAATTTCAAACCAACTATTTAAAAAATATGACAATTCACGATTTAGCTGATACTATTGTTAAGGAAGAGCTGACATCAATATTTCCTGATGTATTTATCGGTATTATAATTTTTTTGACTATACCAGTGACATCTGCTTCAGCTGAGAGATCCTTTTCAAAGCTTAAACTTATCAAAAATTACTTACGGAACTCCATCGGGCAAGAGAGACTTTCAAGTATAGCTTTGCTTAATATTGAAAGACAACAAACAAATGATATTAACATAGAAAATATAATTGACAATTTTGCCAACAAAAAGGCAAGAAAAATGAATTTTTTAAAGTGAGTGATGTTTTTTTTTCAATTTTTTAATTGACTGTTAATGTTAATGTTTACTGTGTTCAATTTATATGTTACCTACAATGTTGATAATTATTTATATTTAATATGAATTAAAAAAGGTTACAAATTATTACATTTATTTATTTGTAAATATATACCTGTATGTGTTTTACTTATGTTAACCTTATTTTTGTTTATATTTGTATGAGCAAAAATCCAAAGTATGTTTTCAAATTTGGAAAAATTAATTTTCAAGACAGAGGGGAGGGGGCATTAATTTTATTTGCACACGGGCCCAAATTGGTGTAGTTGCGGCACTGGTAATGAAGATATAGATATTGAAAAAAATGCTAACTCATTTATAAATTCAACTAAAATACGTCAAAGCACATTTTATATGTAAATAGTCAAATTAAACTTATTTTTTTCTTTTTACTTATTATTATTTATAAGTAAGCTATCAATTTGGTATACATTTATTTTGTTGTATGATTATTAATTAATATAATATTTTATAATCAATTATTGAAATTGCATTTTCCAGTATACAAAATAGTTAATATTATTATATTGTATTATTTAATATTTATACGTACTAATAAAATTCATTAGAAAATGTAAACGTTTTTAGTAGTAAAATCATAACACCAATAGGTGCGATTTGGAAAGTCAAAATTAAAATTTTAGAAGATTAAATTGTAACTAGCCCCCAAGGCGATTCCATGATTTTTTTTAAATGTTATGGGAACATTGTTATTGACCAGAGACTAAACCTCATCCCCCAAATTGTGCATTTATGCCTATGATACCAAGGCCGGGCAAGGCACCCATTAAGTTTTTGAAACCCTGGCATCTATGAATAAATATATAAGTTTATTAGTATATACAAAAATTATTATACTGTTTTCGTTGGTGTGCGTTTACAGGGAAGTTAAGAAATTATACTTCCAAATTAATAACTTTTTAATAATAAGCAACCTATAATTTTTATAACAAAGTATATACATAATATAATTTATTTTATAATATAAATAACAGACCCGGACGCATATTTTGCAAATGTGGATAAACTCAGAACCGGGTTGTTCTGATTGGTTCAAATTTAATTCCCGATATTTTCTTATCACTTTATTTCAAATTTCAAATATGTTTATATCCTATCATATCAAAATAATATTAAATATTTATAAAAGACTTAAAATTAAGAGGTGCACATGGTTTGCGCACATTCACTAAAATTACAACTCATTTGCGCAAATTTTTACAATTCGTTTGCGCATACACTTTCCTTTCCACTTATACAGATTTAGGACTGTCGGTGAATATTTTAACTTTACTGATGTGGTTAAAAATGTGTTTTTGGTGTGCTATGTGTTAAAAAATATTCATAATTAATTTTTATGGTAGCGGTAATTTCTTTATATTTATTTTAATTAGGTACCTACTTCAGTCACGCACATACAGTCGTCGCGAGTACACGTATGTGCTCCGTGCTATCGTAATTGTGCGTTATCGTTTTCCATCCCGTTCTCGTAATTACTTCATTACGTCTATCTATGATTATTCGTATATTATATAATTGAATTAATTAAAGTATTACGAACGTTGCGTATCTTTATATTCAATATACGGTGTCTTCTTATCAATAGACCGCCACAAGCGGTCTCGTTAATTAAACTCGTACCGACGTTATTAATATGCCGTTAACAAATAATATTCAAAATAAATCACCAATGTCCAATTTTTCGAACATCGCGAATAACAATAAAAATAAAAATAATGTCAAAAAATTATCGTTTACACTGAATGATAACTCAAAACGATGATTTTATTTTGAAAAAAAATAAACGACACCTATCAAACTCTTCATTTACGTCTACCCATGGTTCACTAAATTCGTCAACTTTAACTAAGAATAAAAACAAAAAATTGTTTAAATCCACGAATCAATTTGAACTTCTTAGTCCAGATGAACCCCCCGAAGAAAGCTCAATGAATTACGTATTCATTGACAATACGAGTAATAGTCATAACACTCATAACGATACACCTAAACCTCCTCCTCCAATTTCGTAAGAGGCGTGATTGATTATACAGAAGTGTGTACAAAACTAATAGAACTTATCAGTGGCGGATTTAAGGAAAAAAGCCCAGGCGGCATATGATATAAAGGGCCCAATAATTTGAATTGTCGACTTGTCGTGAATACTTACTCGTGGAGAACCCCCCCACCATCCCTTTTAAAACACTATTAAACTAGATAGGTAATAAAACAATATAAAAAATATATATATTTCTTTAAATCGTCCAAACTTGATATAATTTCTAAAAATCTTTATAAAAATGTAAGCTCTGACAATTAAAACTATTATTAAATTAAAACAAAAAAAATTAATATTGTTATAGACATATTATCTTATACGAGGTATAATAGTAAATAGTATAAAATCTCTTGTTTATTACTTATGTAATCCAGTAATGGTAAATTGTCTTCTGGCTTTCTGTTCAGCAAATATTTCAATAGTTGAGTCTAAATTAATTTTATTTGCCACTGATCTTTCGATAAAAAGTATACTGTATTCATTTAAGGTTTTTTCAGTTAGAGTGGCACGACGATGTTCTTTGATTCTTTTTAAAGAACTCATTACTCGTTCTGCACTCGCCGCACTAACAGGGAGTGTAAGAAATAATCTTAAAAGACTGCTACATTCTGGAAAACTGTCTGTTAAATTTTTATCAACGATAAACTCCAAGTAATTCAGTGGACTATTGTTAGAAAAATCTTTGTTTTGAGAAAAATACAAATCAATAAAACTAATTAGCTCATATTTCAGATCAGTTGTAAAGAAATCAGCGTATTTTTCAATCAAAATACTGACACTAATATCTAAATCGTCTTCTTTCAATTTTTGTAAATTTTCAGGCATCAAAAACCCAAAAACATTGTTGATCTCTTTGAAACCTGTAGCACGTTCATGTAATTCACTGCACATTGTGTCAAGAACTTCATAATAATTGATTCTATGTTTATCAGACGTTTCCAATGAAGAGTCAGCAACTTTTTCACCAGCCATTTTTTTAATTCGTCGATTTCTTACCATTGGAAAATCGGCATGATCCCAACCCATTTTTTCCCAGTTTGTTTTAGCTTTTGTCATGAAATTATTATAAGATTATTCATTTCTAAGATTTTTTAACTTTGTTAATGCTGTTGAAATACAATTTTGAGCCATTATCAAATCAATTTCTTTTTTTTGAAGTTGTAGTTGAGCGGAATTGATTATGTCAAGCACTGAATGCCACCATAACAAATTAAAAAAAATATAACCAATTAATTGATGATAGTAATGTATTGGCAGCCATAATATCATCTCCAGATGCTGCAACTCTTGATATCTCGTTTTCCAGGCAGTTTACAATGAATTCGAAATTTTGAATTAATGCTTCCACAGCTTTTAAATGTGCCGCCCAACGAGTGTTACTCAAACTTTTTATATGGAGTCCCCTTGGCTTATCATTTTGAGCGTCGAGTGCATCGTTTTCTATTTGTTTATTGAACATCTCTTTCTTTAGTTCTTTGAGAAGCAGCTGAATGCCAAAACTGTTCGGATTACTCGAAGAGCGATTACTTACATCTAGAAGTGCTTCCTATCGCCTGTGAGAATGTGCGAAATAATTAAAAACTGTTTGAATGATCGTAAAAAACACTTTAATTGAAGGACTTGTATTTTCTTCTGCCGCGTGTACTAAAACTAAATTTAATTGATGTGCAGCACAGTGAATATAAGGAACGAATGCTTCATTACCAACGAATTCTTTTATTTTTGCTTGCAAACCACCTTGTTTTCCTGCCATAACAGCTGCTCCGTCATATCCCTGACCACACAAATGTTTCTTTTCTAGTCCATACTTTTCAAATAACAGGGTAACTATCTCAGAACAAATATATGCAGCATCTCCTTTTTTAAGTTGAGTAAAACATAAAAAGCTCTCTTTTATGTAGTTTTTAGGTGGATCTTTATCTTCTTTTTGAATAAGGACGTATCGTAACAAAATGGCCATTTGATCCAAGTGTGCTACATCTGTTGTTGAATCCGCAAGTATCGTAAAAAATTTTGCATCTTTACATTCATCTACAATTATTTTTCTGGTTTGATCAGCTAATGTACTTAATAATTCGTACATTATTGTTTTACTCAAGTACTTAATTTTATTTGGTGATTCAATATGAGTGAATAAAATAGGATTGTGACGCGAAATTAATTTAATGATTGTCAAGTAAATTCCAGGATATTCATAATTTTGTAAATTTTCTCGGTGACCACGAAAGGCCACGCCTAAACCAGATAACGTTTTTACAGTATCGAAAAGAATATTTAAAATTGTGGTCCATTTCTTAGCTTCTTCACTGATTTGTTTATTAAGTTTATGATGAATATCCGATTTTTGAAGAAATATTGCGGCAGCGACTGCATTATTGAGGTGCACTTTACTTAACCCATGTCTCATAGATGATTGATAAAAGTGTTTCCAGGATGTAAAACCAATGTACCACGCACTTCTCTTCGCAGCTTCATCTCCGAATAACCAACAATAGTGACAATACGCATAGGGTTTTGAAGGTGAATAGGACAACCAAGGACTGTTGTTGTCTCCAACAAATGGCTTCTTTTTGTTTATATAATACCACGATGAGCAAAAATGACGTTTGTCATTGGACAGTTTATATTCCTTACCTAATAAATCACATTCTTTAGGTTGACAGGGACCTGCTAATAAAAGAGCCCTGATTTTGTCTTCGTTTAATTTAGAACAATTTTCATAAAGACCTTTATCGTTTTCAAACCTGGGAAATGTAGATGGTAATATTGTTACCTCATTAATAAACGTAGGTTCTAGTTTTCCCTCATTATTTTCAACAGATTGATCAGATGTAATATTTTTAGATTTGAACTGTGATTTATTTTGATCAAGATTTATTTGGGTGGTTGAAACTACAGATTCACTCTGGCCAAGAATAGTTACAAAAGGTTGAGTTTGACGAGATTCTACAGAAATAGATTCGTTTTTAGTTATAGATCCACTTTCTTGAGAAGTACTCGTAAAACGGAAAAACGTATTAACTTTAGCTTGTTTCGGATTAGTAGCTACTTCCTCTAAAAGCTTTTTCTCCTTTTCTTTTCTTTTCTTTTGGTACTACCGCTCTTATGCTTGGTATACTTCTCCATTATGTTTATATCTATTTGAATCTATCCATTAAAATCATTAATTGTAAATTTAAAATAATATTAAAAATTATATAATTGAAAATAAAATATTAGCCCTTTCACTACCAAATTAATTTTTTTGAAAAAAAAAATTTTCTCTTTTCATATCTGAAACTTATGGCCTTTCAATATGATG